CGGCTTGTCGGGTCCTTACCGTCTACATTGAGGGAGCTTCTGAACCTCCGCGAGTTGGATATAAAATACAATGGGCTCACTGCGATAGATGTCGTATACGAACTTCCTAAGTTGGAGATTCTATCTGCAGATCACAACATGATTTCCCAAGTCGTCGGTAGCTTCGAGCGAGTCCGCAGTTTGAAGTTGAATTCTAACCCCATCACCAAATTTGAAATTACGAGCCCTGTGCCAACCCTCAAGATGCTCAACTTGTCAAACGCTCAGCTTGCCAGCATCGACGGCTCGTTTAACAACATGGTTAATTTAGAGAGGCTTGTGCTAGACCGTAATTACTTTGTCTCTCTTCCTAGTACCATTGGTACTTTGAGAAGGCTGGAGCATTTTAGCATAGCCCACAACTCTGTGGGCGAGCTACCTCCGGAAATTGGTTGTTTAAGCGAACTGAGAATACTGGATGTCAGAGGGAACAATATTAGAAAGTTGCCAATGGACTTGTGGTGGGCAAACAAGTTGGAGACGCTCAATGCCTCTTCAAATGTGCTAGAGAATTTCCCAAAGCCCGCTTCACGTCCACCCCAGATGCCCGGGGAATCTTCAGGCTCGCCTGCTCCTAGCAATAAGCTGCTTACCGGACCTCTATCTCAAGCGTCTAGCTCCGAAGATCTTCTCGCTGATAGATCGCGCCAGCCAAGTCAAGCATCAAGCACATTGCTGAGCGTCGGACCTTCTCCTGTTCCTTCTAGCTCAGACAGAAAAAGTTCTGTTGTTTCAGTCTACGGAAAAGGAGGGCGCAAAACTTCGGTCCTTTCGCGAACGACAACAGCTAGTAGTAGTGCTAACGGGACTATGACTCCTGCCGTAGGGTCGAGAAAAGACTCGGGACTTTCTACCCGGTTAACTAACACATTTTCCGGTTCGTTGAGAAACTTATGTCTTGCTGATAACCAGCTCGACGACGATGTGTTCGAGCAGATCACGCTGCTGGCCGAATTGCGCGTTCTCAATTTATCGTACAACGATTTGAACGACATGCCGCAGCGGTGTATCAAGAATTGGCCCCAGCTCGTAGAGCTTTATCTGTCGGGCAACGACCTCACAAGTCTGCCAGTTGATGATCTGGAAGAATACAGCTTGCTTCAGGTACTTCACATTAATAATAACAAATTCACGAACCTTCCCGCAGATATTTCCCGAGCCAAAAAGCTGGCTGTATTGGATTGTGGAAACAATTCCCTCAAGTACAATATCTCAAACGTGCCATACGATTGGAATTGGAATCTAAACCCAAATTTGCGGTTCCTCAACTTGTCAGGAAACAAACGACTGGAAATCAAACAGACAAATGCTGGCCTAGTGTCCCAGAACCGCGAGCAATATACCGACTTCAGTCGGTTGTTGAACCTTCGTGTGCTTGGATTGATGGATGTCACCCTTACTCAGCCAAGTATCCCAGACCAGAGCGAAGATCGTCGTGTCAGAACCTCAGGTTCATTAGCTGGCCATCTGCCATATGGTATGGCTGATACACTAGGTAGAGGCGAGCACCTATCAACCATCGACCTGGTCGTCCCGAGGTTCAATTCCTCAGACTCAGAGACGCTCTTAGGCTTGTTTGACGGACAGGCATTGTCTAGCGGTGGCTCTAAGATCGCCAAGTATCTTCATGAGAATTTCGGGCATATCTTCTCAATGGAACTGAAGGCTCTGAAGACACGCCAAAACGAGACGCCTGTAGATGCGCTTAGACGTGCATTCCTCGCCCTCAACAAAGACCTTGTCACTGTAGCGGTTGAGCATAGTGAAAAGAGGCCGTTGATGTCACATCGTGGTTCGTCGGCGTCGGTAGTCCTTAGCAAGGAAGATCTCAATTCTGGGGGCGTTGCCACAGTGGCGTACCTGCAAGGTCAAGAACTGTACATTGCCAATGTCGGCGATGCGCAGGCAGTACTCATCCAATCCGACGGCCAACATAAAATCCTCACGAGGAAACACGACCCCGCAGAGCCGGGTGAGCGTCAACGAATACGCGATGCTGGGGGTTGGGTATCGCGCCAGGGGAAGCTGAATGATGTACTCGAAGTCTCTCGTGCCTTCGGCTACATCGACTTAATGCCGGCTGTACAGGCAGCTCCCCATGTTCTCCAGATACCTATCGCGCCGCAGGACGAAACGATTCTAATTGCAACAAAAGAGTTATGGCAGTATCTTACTCCTGGCTTAGTGGTTGACGTTACTCGATCGGAGCGGGGCGATCTGATGCGCGCTGCACACAAGCTACGAGATCTTGCTATCGCGTACGGTGCAACTGGGAAAATCATGGTCATGATGATCAGCGTCTCTGATCTCAAGCGGCGCCAGGAGCGATCAGCTCGTTTGCATAGAGGGCAGAGCATGTCACTGTATCCCTCTGGCGTCCCAGACGATTTCCAGTATCCGCCCAAGCGAGGCAGAAAAGCCAAAGGCGAGGTCCAGGACTCCACATTACACAGGCTCGATCCTGAAGTTCCCGCCCCTACAGAAAAGCCTTCTATTGTTTTCACTGATATCAAGAATTCAACTAATCTGTGGGAAACGTATCCTTCGGCCATGAGATCCGCTATAAAAGTTCACAATGAAATTATGCGACGGCAACTTCGCAGAATCGGCGGGTACGAAGTCAAGACTGAAGGCGATGCCTTCATGGTCTCTTTCCCCACCGCTACCTCGGCGCTCTTGTGGTGCTTTGCCGTCCAAACCCACCTACTGACGGCAGATTGGCCCTCGGAAATTTTGAACTCGGCTTCTTGCCAAGAGGTGTACGATAATGATAACAACCTCATCTTCAGAGGCTTATCGGTCAGGATGGGTATCCATTTTGGCGAACCAGTAGCCGAAATTGACCCCGTTACGCGTCGCATGGACTATTTTGGTCCGATGGTGAATAAAGCGTCTCGTATTTCTTCTGTAGCCGATGGAGGTCAGATTACCGTGTCCACGGATTTTATCTCCGAAATTCAGCGTTGTCTTGAGACCTACCAGGAAAATGAGCGAAATGGAACTGCTGGCGCCGAAGACACTTTCGATGATGATGCGACGTCGGCGGCAATTAGAAGGGAGCTAAAGTCGCTCAGCTCACAAGGGTTTGAAGTCAAGGATATGGGTGAGCGAAAGCTCAAAGGCCTCGAAAACCCTGAGGGTATTTATTCCCTGTATCCACACGCTCTTGCTGGTCGCATCGAACATCATAATAATGCGTTGATAACGAACGATTCTGCCGAGAAGCCTGCCACACTTCAGCCCGGAAGTGATCTCGGGTTCGATCCGGATCTTATCTGGTCTCTATGGAAAGTTAGTTTGCGCCTGGAGATGCTTTGTAGTTCTTTGGAAGATATGTCAGGCGGCAGGCTGCAGCCTCCCGAGACCGAACTATTGGAGCGTATGAAGCAACGTGGTGGTGAAATGACGGAACAGTTCTTATTCAACTTTATGGAACATCAAGTGAGCCGTATAGAGGTACGTGTCTTGGGCCCTATCATTATCATTTTTCTTTTTCTTTTTCCTTTTCTGTTTTCTTGTATTTACTAACCGTTCTTCATTATAGACTTGCGTCTCCACACTCGCGATGCGTCATATCGCCATGGGTGGCGGCCCGATCACCTCGCTAGATGATCTCCGAACACCGATGTCTGTCGTCCTCGACAATCTTGCTGCCCAGATGGCTGAACTTGAGCGATACAAGGCTAGATATGGCGACCTTACTACTACTGACAGTGAGGGCGAGGCACTCACTACTGACCAAGAGTCTGACGACTGATAACCTTCGTTTTTGACTATCTTCAAATCCTGACCTCCATTTCCATATAGTATATCATGCTAAGATCCCACCGGCCCACGTCTTTAACCGTACTACTACCTTGCGTTCTTTTTTTCCACGCAACTGAAAAGGGATGTGCAGTTCCACCCTATATACAATACCTACCTTTAATGTGCTATGACGAAGATATCTCTTATGACTACTTCTGGGGAGGCGAGGCTGTTTGTTTACAAGTCATGTTCGGGTGGTTGACTGAAACGTGGGCGACGGCATCCTGCGAGCAGCCGATGGCTTAAACGGAGACTACCATTGGCGTTCAGACGCCGACGAATAACTACTGGAGTGTGAGAATGTGCGTTTTCGGAATATTCGAAAAAGAAAAGTTCAGGTTTGGATGTAAACCTCGTTATTATTATTATTATTATTATTGCTTGGGGCATGGCATTGGGATACTTTATTAACGGACATAATTAGCTACGCCGTCGTTGCTATCGCGCAGACGCTGCGAATGGGCGTTTCTACGGAGGGTACCAGGGGGGAGTGGGGAGAGATGGGAGGATATATTCCCTCGTTTTTTTAAATATTTTCCCGTTCGTGGTTGGCGAGCGGGCGTCGTGTCGACCCTCACACACACTATCACGCAAATACATGTAACGGGTACGTACGGCTGCTGGCTGGCATCGTCTACCCGATACACACGTCAAGGAAGCCACATCAAGTAGGTGGTAGGCGGACCGCTCATCACCAGGTATGGGTTAGTTTGGCTATTGTCAGTGTATAACTCAGTTGATTTTACATTTATCCCGTCTTATTGAACATACGTGATATCCATCAAGTTATCAGTGCTCCTCGATATACATCTATCAGGGGCATCATACATACCTAGGTAGGTGGTACCTATAGTCTTCAAGAAATGTGGCAGCATATATCATTATATTACAATAATATTACAATAAAACTCTGTATATTTACCACATTAGGCAGTTAACTATGTTTATAAACATAATCATATCTGAATTTTCGAAATTAATATTATAAACAGGTAGTAGTTAATAGAAACGTGAAGTAGGAAAAAACATAAAGACTCAATACCTAAATACTCAACCTAAGTACCTACTTGAGTAAATTTAAAAAGCAAAAAGTAAATGGCCCCGAGCCGGGCACGAACCCAAGACCTCTCTCGTGAGAGAAAGCCAAAAAGATTTGCATCCGCCGGGATTTGCACCCGGGTCTTTCCTTAACCATTAGACCACCAGGGGAAATGGGAGAGGAATAAGTTAACTACTACTCCACGGATGCGTTTGTCGTTTGTGCGTTGGAAAGTGTGTTGCTTATTAGACATTATAAGGGTTCTTACTTGGGTAGGTACCTACCTACTTGTTTACTTGGGAGGTATGTAGGAAGGTAGGCCGGCAGGTGCGTAGGTGGTGGGTAAGGAGGGAGTTGCTGCCGTGATGGTGGGAACTACGTAGGTAGGTACCTCCTAAAGGGAAGGAACGCGTTTGGAAGTGAGAGACGCGTCTTGGAAGGAAGGCTATTCTCACTCAAAGCTAAAGAGGTAGGTACCTACTTATAAATGGAGTTTACTGCATACATGTATGTCTTGTGCATACCTATGAAGTACCTAATGTTTCTTACGCCATTCAATTCATATGCGTATATTTTTGGTACCTACCTCCAACATATGTAGTTATACCATAATGTAAAGGCCAACTTAGTTGGAATAGCAGCACGCTTTCAAGAGAAATCCAATAATTCGTATGATATTGCTTAGATGTTACTACCTTAAATATATTAGGTACACATTCACACACACTCCTATGCCCTGATGATCACTTCGTAACGAGATCTCAGTGTCCCCTATATTCTAGCATAAGTTAACATACATATATGTAGGCCAGTAGTGCCTCTACACAAACGGCGCAACCTGCAAGGAAAAGGTTATTCGGTTACCTGCTTAGAGGGTAAGTAGTCTGTCGTCTGTCTAATATGAGGTACGTAAATAACATCAACCCCATCCACATAAACACGCATAAATCCAAACGGATATTGAACACGATTTGCTTTGATCCTCATTGTTCATTTCATTTTAGCCATATAACGAATGATACTGTGTAGATCTAACTAACTAATAGAATACAAAGCTGTAAGGGGTATATCCATATGCATCCTTCACATCAGAAACTGCCACATTACTTTCATCACGATACATCATATAAATTGCCCAATCGGGCAGCGTCGGGCCTCATCTGGATGGACCCAGTCCACATGCTCCCCAAATCTTGCATCTTGCTTGCCTCCCATCCCCTCAGCCTTGCCACGTCACTTGTACACACCAAGATACATCCAAACGCAGCTATCCCATGCCATACAGTACAACCAATGCTCCAAAGCTAGTGGGGTCCCCTTACACATCTGCCATAGAGACGAGAATGTCCAACCCTAGGAAACTATCATCCCCATAACTATATGAGAGGCACAACCCAATCCAAAAATGTCCCATGAATCTTAAAATTGTTTTGTGAGGAGTATATTACGAAAAAAAAAAAAAAAAAACACGCCCAAGAAAATATTTCCGTGACCAATGGCGGTACAGTCTCACTCTGTCAATCAAGTCTCCAGCTCTGCTCCTCAAGAGCCAGTAAGCTTCCTCCACCAACTGCTTCGAGGTGTCGAGTCTGTGAAGAATGATTCGCGCGGGCCACCTTTGACACCATTCTTATCACCACTGCCATCCGAACCGCCCACGCGACGATCTCGACGATCCCGTTGGTCTCGTTGATCCCGTTCCTCGTGGCGCGCGCGGCGGCGCCGTCGATCGTCCTCCATTTCCGCATCAACATCACCATACTTCGCGCGACGGCGTGCTCGTCGTGCAGCACGGCGAGCTTCTTCGTCGTCCTCAGGAGGCGCATCGGTAGTGGGGCCATCCTCAGGGGGTGGTCCAGACTCTGAATGCTCCTTCACCCAGGAATCTGTACCCGAGTGAGGCCAAACCGCAGGTTTATTTCGTCTGCGATCACGATCACGATCACGATCACGATTACGATCATCTACAACATGTCGTGAAGATCTTTCCTGAGGGTAGACATAATCCTCAACCGGCATGGTACGTCTTCGACTGGCCTTTTCTTCGGCACGCCTGGCTTCATGTCTCCTCCGTCGACGTTCTTCTTCGTCCCCGGAAGCGTCAGCGTAGCGTGGTCGCCGTCGTTCAGCCCTGGCAGCGCGGCGAGCTTCTGCTTCCATCTCCTCGGCGGCGGCAGCCTCCTTTTCAAGTCTACGAAGCCGACGTCGTTCGGCCCTCTCAGCTTCTTTAGCTTCGACTGCGAGGCGCTCTGCTTCGCGTTCTCGGGCAGCCCTACGCTCAGTTCGTCGGGCCTCGCGTTCAGCTTGTTTACGAGCTTCAGCATCCTCTTCATATCTTCTCCGCCTCTCGCGCCTTTCCTCTTCTTTCGCCAGACGCGCTTCTTCTACTGCCTTCTCTTCGGCCCTTCTGGCACGGCGAGCTGCGCGGCGGGCCTCTCTCTCGTCGTCTATCGCATCTGCGTCGACAACGTGATAATCCCGTGTGGACCGCCTAGCTCTCTTATCAGGCCGAACTTCGTCGTCCGCAGTGTAGTATGTACTGCGACGACGTGGCTCGGGACGCGGCTCGGGACGTGATTCGGAGCGCGGATTCGAGGACCTAAGGCCCCCAAAAAGACCAGCAAAGCCTTTCTTGGCACTCGAGCTCGATCGCTTGAGAGGTACTGCATCGGCAGGGTTTCCTATATCAAACATGACCGCATCGTCCTCGGTTTTGGGCTGTTTTGGGTTAGCCAGGACAAATTTTGTATAGCGGCGAGCTCCTACCTTTGGCCGTCTACGAGCCGACTTCTCAGGGCTCGAAGGGACGTGACCGGCTCCAACCATGACGATTTCCTCATCATCCAAGGCGCGTGCCATAGAGGTCTTGCGGCCGCGACTCTTTTCGTTCTTGTCAACACCGAAGATCTTGGCAGCCTTGGAGGACATCATAGGTGTTTCCTCAGGCGGTGGCGATACTAGTCCATTTGCCATATCGTCCGAATGGCGACGCGAAGTCGACTTGCTCGCACTGTAGCGTTTATCGCGGGTCGACATGGAGCGCGAGATAGGGGGGGTGCTCTGGAATATACTGTTCGTTCGCAGATTGGTAGCTGGTGGCAGTTTCTTCTCTGGGTGCTCTTCGTATTTATTGTCCCTTTCTGACGACGATCCCTTGGAAGAAGATGATTTTTCCTTCTCTTTCCGGGCCCTCTTCTCTTCGGATCTCGGCTTGGATCTCCTCTCCTCTTTGTGAGGTGTTGCCGACCACACTCCCCATGATGCACTACCTTCACGGCTGATCTTGGGTCGGTCTCTCCTAGAGGACTTGACCTCGGGTGGCGGTGTCGGGGGCTCGTCGGAGGCAGCTGGAGGGGGAATGGGCACTTCGGGAGGAGGTGGTGGAATAGGAGCCTCAGGCGGTGGAGGAGGCGCCTCGACGGCCTTGGCTTTGCTCTTCTTACTGCTCTTCTTTTTCTTCTGAACCGGCGCCATATCAACGATATCGATGATTTCGTTCTCATCCTCATCAGGAAACCCCCCGGGGAGTATGTCTCTAGAGGACCTAAATTTGTTATCTTCTTCGGCGGGTGGTGCGACACGAACACGTGGCGGCGGCGCAGCCAGCCCGTAAATCAGATCATCGTCTTCCTCTTTGGCCGGTTCGAATTTCCTAAGTTTTTCGGCAAGCTTACCGTTCTTGGCCTTAGCTTTCCTTGGCTCCATCCAGTCATCATCGGTTATGGGAGCCTTCGAGGACGATGGTGCATCCTCAATGGGGGGTTCTTCCGGAAGCTTTGATGACTCAGCACATATAATCTCGGCTGCTCCCGAAGTTTTGGGCATCTTAAGGCTACTTACCGGTTCGGGTGACGAGCTCTTCGCCCTAGCACCCCAGAATGAAAATGCATCAGATTTATACGTCTCGGTCTTAGGTTTAGGCTGAGGTTGTATTTTGGGAGCTGAGAAGCCAGACAACAGCTCGTCGATCTGTTCGGGAGCAAGATCAATATTATCGAGATCCAGGTCGTCGTCGTCGTCCCTGCTATTATCTTTTTCCTTCTCTTCTTCTCTCTCTCTCTCCTCCCTTTCTTTCTCCTCTCTCTCTCTCTCTTCCCTCTCTCTTTCTATTTCCCGCTCCTTCTCTTTCTCCCTCTCTTTTTTAGACAATTTATCCTTGGCGCTGCTGGATTTAGACTTTTTATCCTCGGACTTAGAGCTCTTTTTCGACTTCTTCTTAGCAGCTGCTTCGGCTTCCTCGCGTTCGCGCCTAGCTAGCTCCTCAGCCTCGCGAGCTTCCTCTTCTTCTGCTTCACGCGCCGCTTGTTCCTGAGCTTCTCGTTCCCTCTGCTCTTCAGCCTCTCGCGCTGCTTGCTCCTCGGCTTCTTGCGCCTCTCGTTCTGCGTCAAGTGCCCCTTGGTCTTGTGCCTCTTTGGACGCTTTCGCTTCCGCACGGGCCTGGGCTCTCTCGGTTAGTTCATCAAGTCTCATCTGATCTGCTGCCTTGAGCTTTTTCTTTTTCTTGCTCTTAGCTGCGAGTGCAGCAAACTCGGCTTCCTCTTCGGCGATTTCGTCTGCAAGCGCTGCGGCAGCTTGCTCTTCGGCCTCTTGGGCTTTCGCCGCAGCATTTTGCTCTGCTTCTAGGGCTTCCGCCGAAGCCATCTCCTCAGCCTCTCGTTGGGCCAGCTCTTCAGCTTCTTTGGCAGCCTTCTCCTTAGCACGACGTTTGGCATTTGCAGTGAGCTCATCGAATCTTCTCTGACTAGACTTAGAGAGTTTCTTCTTCTTGCTCTTAGTTGTTAGCATTGCCAGTTCATCTTCTTCGGCGGCAATCTGATTTGCCAATTCCGCGGCTGCTCTCTTTTCTTCCTCGTTTTCTCCAGTTTTGGCGTCATCCCAGACATTCTCTTCCAGTTCCTGGCCTGACATACTCATTTCCAATGAAGGTGGTGTGGGTGCTGGGGGTGGAGATGTCTTCTTGCCTTTGCTTAGTCCCCAATTCCAGTCGTCGTCGTCAAAATTGCCACCCCTACTCTCTTCTACTGAGTCGGGTTTGACACTGTTAAGGTGAGGCTCATTCTCTATCTCGACTGGAATGTTCTTACTGCCCTTCTTCTTTTTATCTTTCTTTAATCTGCTAGTCCAGGGGTCGTCATTCTTAGGCTCTTCGATCGAGTCCGGCATCAGATTATTTTCATTTTTATCCTTGTCGGCTGTGAAACTACCCCAGAAGTCATCGGCTTCAGGTACGGCAGGCCGTGGTTCCGAGTCTTCATACTCTGGATCTGTATTGGCTTCTACAAGAGCCGTTGAAGCCTGGATTTTCTTCTTACCCCAGCCCAGCCAACCTTCGTTACCTTCATCAATGGGAGACTCCTCCTTCGCTTTCTTGGCGGGCTTCTTGGCAGCACCCCAAAAGCTCCAAGCGCTCGGTTGCTCAGTAGCTGAAGTAGAAGCGGGATCCCGTTCGGGTTCTGGCTCAGAGGTAGATGAAGCTGGTGGTGTCACTTCCTCTTCCTTGGGTGGCTTTTCCAGGATAGTGGTGGCTTTGCTCTTCTTCTTTTTCTCCTTAGAGGCGCCGAGGCCCCACGCGTCATCATCATTTTGAGTGGGAAGTACTTCTGGCTTTAGTTCCGACTCTGACTTTTTGAGAGCAAGCTCAAGTAAGATGCTCTTTTTCTTTTTACCCTTGCCTAGGTCCTTACTTGAGGTGCCCCATACAGCCCAGTCGTTAGTAGGCTCGACTTTTTCTCGTTCTGGTTCTGGTTCTGGTGTAGGTTCGGGAATAAACTCCGGCTCTTTAGGGGGTTCTTCTGCGGCAGTTTTCTTCTTTTTTTTCTTGTCCTTTTTTGAGGCAACGCCAAACAACCCCCAAAGATCGTCATCCGCAGGTTTGGTTTCTTTTATAGGCTCTTGTTCTAGTTCTAGTTCCGGCTCCGGCTCCGGCTCTTGCGCTGGCTCTGGGATAGGCTCTGGGGGTTCCGGCTCCGTCGCACCTTTCTTCTTCTTTTTCTTCTCCTTCGTTGTAGTTGTAAAAGATGGGAAATCGTCAGTTTCCTTCTTCGGGGGCTCCGGCTCAGGTTCAGGCTCCTTGGGGATCTCTTCAAATAGCTCATCTGCAACGACGTTCTTCTTTTTCTTGTCCTTCTTGATCAATTTACCGAAAATACCCCGGTCGTCTTCCTTCTTCTCTGGCTCTGTTGGGAGCTCTGGTGCCGGCACTGGCTCAGGCTCCTTAATTTCCTCGGCACCTTTGCTCTTTTTGCTCTTCTTCTTGGTTATAGGTACATCCGAATTCGCCCAGTCGTTCTCCTTCTCGGGTTCATGCTCAGGCTCAACTACTGGCTCTGGAATAGGCTCAGGTTCAGGGTCTTTCGTCTTCTTCTTCCTGTCTTTCTTGGTGACTCCGAAAACCTCCCAAGGATCATCGTGCTTAGGCTTGGGTTTGGACTCGGGCTCGGCTTTCTCCTCTATTATCTCAACGACAGGCTCCGGCGTGGTAGTTGTAGTTTTACCTTTCTTTTTCTTGTCTTTCTTCGTAGTCGTGGAGTCCCAAAAATTGTCTTCCTCCTTGTTTGTAGGTTCAGACGGCGGGGTTAACTCTTCTACCTTCGAAACCTCTGCGATCTTACCCTTCTTTTTGTCCTTTACGCCCCAGCCCCAGCCACTCTCAAGAGTCAAAGTCTCATGTTCTGGACCAGGAACAGGCGGGTCAGACCCCTTAGGTGTTTCAATTCCCTTCTTCTTGCTTTTCTTAGAGGACGTCCCAATTGTGTCGCTCCAGGGGTTTTCCTCTTTCGCAGGCTCTGGTTCCGGCTCTAGCTCTAGCTCCGGTGCTGGGGGCTCGGGCTCGGGGTTTTCCTCGATGGCACCTTTCTTCTTTTTCTTATCTTTCTTAGATGGTGGGACAAGCAAGTCGATGGCGGCAGGGGCGATATTAACAGCATTGACTATAGGCTCAGTCTTCTCAGGCTCATGCGCTACGACAGCAGAACCCTTCTTGCCCTTTTTCTTAGCAGCAGTAGTGGTTGTTTCCCAGGGGCTTCCCCAGTTGTCATCGAGCGCAGTTGACCCTAATTCCTTGCTTTGAGCGGCTGGTATCTCCTCCTCGGGCAGGGGCTCGGGGTCCCAGGCGCTGCTCTTCTTCTTGTTCTTGTCCTTCTTAGCTGAACCTAGGCCGAGGTCAAAATTCTCGGACTTCTCCTCAGACTTCCTCTTAGAGATGGGCGCTTCAGCTTTATCCTCTGTTTGGTCAAAAGATCCGAGTCCGAATCCTGTCTTATCCTTCTTCTTAGGCTTGGGTCCATCAATGCTCCACGCACTGGCGTTCGCCTCTTCCTTTTTCTCCTCCTTCTCTTCTTTATCTTTGGAGTGGTCAGCGTCTTTGGACCCAAATAGGCCCCCGAGACCACTACCCCAGCCACCACGCCACGTACCAAACAAGTTGGACTTAGGCTCGGGTGTAGTAGTACTACTACCCCTAAAACTGACGTCCAAAGACGTCCTCACGGGCTCATCCAACTTGATGTCCTGGAAGGCGTCGGGCTTACTTGGTACTTCAAACGACTCAACCTTCTCTTCGACCTGGGTCTTCCCCTTCTTCTTTTTCTTGCTACCAACAGTCTCAGCAGCAGCCATGCTACCGTCTAGTTTTGTGTCGGCCGTGTCGTCCTTTTTATCCTTCTCTTTCTCCTTCTCCTTTTCTTCCTCTTTTTTTTCTTCTTTCTCCTTGTCTTCATTGTCATTCCTATCCTTACCCTTATCCTTGTCCTTATCATCATCGTTACCCTTACCACTGCCATTGCCATCACCACTCGCACCTCCACCGGTGTTTCCTGAATCATCGTTTTGATCGCCGTCACCTCCATCGGCACCGCCTGCCCTGCCGTCATTTTTTTTCACTGCCTGGTTCCAATCGAAGTTCTGTGCCTTCTTCTTGTTCTTTTTGGAGTGTTGGATAAAGCCATCCTCTGATAAAAGATTTAAGTAAGGCTCGGTTGCCGGATCGCCGATTAGTGAATCTCTTCGCTGTGCACGACGCCGAGCGTTGTTCGGTGGGGGGAGGTAGTTATTCACTAAGTTAGAGTGGTCTCGCTGACGGGCAGCCTCACCAGTTCGAGCTGGATCAATTAGGGGTTCAAAAAGGAGGGGATCTTCGTCACAATGCTTCGATAATCGTCGCGATCGTTTCGGTGTGGAGTCAGGCAGCACCAGTGGCTTGGGAATAGCATGGTGGATGACCTTCTGATTATACCTACAGCGCAGTTCCTATTCCGGATCGCGTCTGTCAGCTTCGAATTCCGATGGCCACTGCGGCGGGTGTAGAATACAAGTCTCAAAATCTAGACTAATGACACGCCATACTATACATCGACCAGCCTATTGAAACAATCCATAACATAGAGAATAGCTAGAATGCTAAGGAACTAGAGACGCCCAAGATAGAGAGCACATACCGATTTCAATACCGTCGCCACCAAAAGCCATGCTCTCGAAATAAGCTCCAGTCGAGGTTGCAGGTCTAGTTCATCCCACTGCAGAGTCGTTGTCGTGATGGAAGGCCGGGTCTTTGGCCGGCCAAACCCGTCTCTTGTCGCGCTTGCGCATGATTCTATAAACGCGGCCGCAGCCATATTGAGGTTGGGAGCTCGACTGGTGGCGCCGGGATAAGAGAATCATGGACGCTGAGATGTTGTCTTCGACAGACTGGTGAAGGTCAGGGGTTGTAGTAAGCTGTACTATCAGTTCGGTAATCGAGGAGGGGTGTTTAAAATTCAAAGGCAGAGCCTTTAACCTGTCTATTCTTACAGCTTTAGGGTTGAAAGTCTATGGATATCTAAGCGAGAGAAGGCGGTAGTATGAGTCGGGTTGGGGTCTTTTGAGGATGTTACACTCGTTTATCGTTGTCGGTTGACAGGACGCAGTCAGACGTCAACGAGGCAGAGATTCTGAGCTTCTAGCTTGATGTGTAACACGTCGCAATCTTAATTATCATCGTCTCCTTCCCCGTACAGCCCTCTAATGCCCTGGGAAGAAAAGAATCGTCCCTGGCAATGCAATGGGTGATATAAAAAGCAAGGGGTAAAGTACAATGCGTAGTACAAGAGGCAGTAAAATCGACTTCTGATAAGCACCAATAATGTTGCGATGCGGCAATGCAAATGTTAAAGGTGTGTAAGAGAGATGCCGGCTATTGATTGGTTTTGCTTCGCGGTCAGTGTGTGGCAGACATTCCCCGACAGAATTCGGATACCTCTCGTCTTTTTGACGACAGGACTTCCAATCTGATTGTATCGAGAATTGAATACAGCTCGCTCGAGTAGAAGGCAAAGCAGCAAAGCAGCGTGAAGTCCTTTCCCTGTCTGCTTGAAGCAAAAGGTACAAGAGGGAGCAAAAGACCACAAAAACAGTAAACGGATTGGACGTCTGAGCCTATTATGTATGCATGTACGGATGCGACCACCCAATAGATGAACAATAACGCAGCATCATGCACCTGAGTGGGCGAAGGAGAAAAATAGTCGCAATTGTTTGGAGAGAGGGTGTGCATTAAAAGACGATAGAGGGGAAGTCGGCGTTTGTGGGATGGCTGGCTATCATTATCATTGGATGGTCACTGATGTGATATATCCACTTTTATTTTATCGCACACCCCTGCCAGCCTTGACACAATAACACCCTCCCGCCATCCTTTCCTAAATTTACATAGTAACCTTACTCCGGGACCTCACATACGTTACACGGTACATTTGATCGCATACAATTTATTATACGCATTCTTGTACCTGTTTATAGGCTACGACGTCTTCCATTACTCCAATGTGTCACTTGATGGCAAGTCCTTGCTTCTTTCCAAACGTTCCTTATCCACTTCAGGCCTTCATACCGCGATAAAGCCAGGTGACTTTCCCCGACTTCTCGACCTGGAGTGGGGTGATATGGTTGAATTCGATTGTGTATATTATACACTTAACATAGTTACATACACTATATCTAAGGTATATCTAGTTAATACGAAATAAAAGTTATATGGGGTCCAGCAAACAAGAACAAAGGAAGAGACCGAAGGGTAACAATTGCTAATTGATAATAAATCTCAATTGACTTCTTACAGACTTGGTTGCATTGACTTCCCGTTTGGTCCCTGCGTTCGGTGTATTACACCTGCGCGAACGATTATCACCAGTCGCGTCTCAACGATGAAACCCCGCCACATGAAATCTTGCGCTGCCTTCTCATTTTTCATTTTTCATTTTTTTTTCGGCCCCCGTTTCCTTTTCCCGCCTGACTGTTTGACTGGACCCCCTCATTCGATTAATCTTTTTTTTTTTCAGCCTTCCGCTTCTTCATCTACCTTTTAAAATCTCTTTTGTGTATCCTGCCCCTGCAGCTTAGTATTCCCTTATCCTGCTTCGAATTGGGTGTTCTCAACTAGCTGACCGTTGATGGATGCTGAGGACGCGTACGGCATGGTCGATCATCTACGGTCTGGCAAATGGCGCCTCCAATTTGAGAAAATTTCGCACGTTTACTTGCATGACGGACCTCGCCCCTTTTGCGCAACGGGTGCGGCGAATTATTATATCGCGTGCCTATAGACGACAATGCAAACGCGAAAAGTTGGATAAAGTGTCCAATTACCGAAACATGTGCTCACTCGCAGAAAAAGCGGCACGATCATATACCCATGGAATATGACCTCTCAGCTGCAGTGGGAAAAGGTCAAGGTATCGATACATGATGGATGGGCAGCCATGCGCCTCTTAGCTTTGTATCTGCTCTCCATGCTTAGCACAACGCCATTCATCCACGTCGTTGGGATCCATCCGGAAGTGGGACAACTGCTAAAGCATGCCAGATGCATCTGCCACATCTAGCAGTCATATTCGCCCGGTCGCCGTATCCGGTTGCTATAGAAATCTAAACGAAAATATATACCGTAGAGAGGGTTACCCACCTAGGTATACTACATTTACTACATTGGGTACATACTGTATCTTGCCGCTGAACCCTGGCCTTCCCGCAACACCCGCCTGGTTGCCCATTCTCATCGGCAGCCACTGTACTACATATGTAGGGGTTTATCGACACTCCCAGCTCTGTTTTAGGTTGCTGCACGTTTTCTACTCGACGCCGGCCCCCATCTAAATGGGTAGTGGTTGTTCGCTGTTCGCTGTCCACTCCTGCGGCGGATCCTCCCATGCATACATCCCACAAATAGCCACCTAAACCGGCATCGCGAGTTCTTCACCGCTTCGAATTCATATCGACTTTTCATGCCAACGGGGCTTCGCTGACGCTAAAAAGTGGAAGCGATTTGCAAGGAACAATGGAACTCGACTTAACTGGTTCTGCACGTAAATTTTTTTCTCCAATTGACCAACGGATTGTCGCATAAATCACTTGGCTTGGTCGAGGTACCCTCCTTCGAGGGCATTCTATTGACGATAATCGGGGATAGTCAACGCAAGACACCACAGATCGCATCGGTGACTCCCACGATACGATGTGGTGCACTACCAGCGTTTCGTTTGTTGGGGAGATGGGGCTCGTACGCATCACTCCCGTCGGGTTTGCATCAGATCGGATATCTTCCGCAGCGTCGAATCCACACAAACGCGGGTGTGCCTTTCGCGTCCGCGTCGTGTTCTCATATTTGTTCCTATCTTCCGATGCTTATCCCAGAGCCAGTCAGGCTTTTTGCCACTCTTCACCGCACATTTAGGCCGACTTACAGCACCGTCCCCTTCGTTCGGCCAACCGATTCAGATTGAGGTATAGGCCTACCGCACGTGACTCCTTCATATGATGTTATTGCATATCATGAATGTATGTCTCGAATTTTGGGGTAGATGATGAGAAGTGGGTGCCGGTCCATCGTACACTAGGTTTTCGTGGATCCCGAGGGCCGCAGTTACGAATTACTTCGCTTTTCGCCGTTGACCGTTTTGAATCCATCTCGCCTGATAGACAGGTCATGGTCATAGTATCGTAACATAGAAACACATGGAGATACGGCCAAGTAGAGATGCTAAGGTCGTTAGACAAAAGACTAGTTCTGCTCCTGCATAGATTACTACATTCGTATAAGGTAAGTAAACCCCATGATCCTAAACAGAGGATCAAGAACGATCCAAGTGGAGTTGGGAGCCATAATTTACAACAGTGTTAAATAATCACTATCGTCGTCAGGATATCAACGATGCCTACCTAACCTTGTTCTTGGCCCATTAGGGATCATTGATATCATTACAAAGGAGTCTTGCTAGTTATCCCATAACTACAAAGCGTCTTGCTATTAAGAGGGGTTGTTTCTATACATGGGCTCCAGTGTATAGCTCCATATGTGTACAGTACACATGTCTAGTAGTACGATCCATGATATAGCCCCACTCTATGTCTTAAGTCGACCCCAAGCTTGGCCGAAGACGGAGGTTCTATACGCTCTGAAGTATAAAGAGAAAACTTGGTCATTTCAAGAGCTTGTGTGACCTCTAATTTCGGCCGGTTTTACCCCTTACTCCTATTTACGAGATCTCAAGAACTAAGTTGGTAATGATATGATACGAAGGTAGTTAGTCGAGAAGTAATAATATCCATACCCACCATCTTGCTTCATGCGAGGAAATACGCAAGCAAGCCGGAAACAAGAACTAGCCTATGACCATTTTTCCTTAGACATAAATATGCCAGCGTTTCCTAGCCTCAACACCCACTTCACCACCCGTCCACCTTAGCACGAACAACAGGAGTCCTAAACGACAAATTCGATTCCATGCCCACAGTCGACCTCGGTCAGCGCCAGTACACATCACACCTTTAGACCTCGACTATCATTACGGCCGCAAGGGAGGCCAAGTCACAGCACTAGCATCCCTTCTCCTGCTCTAAGAATCCACCCCGTTCCCCTTACTCAATCGGTCGACCCACGGCTGTATGAAATACTCGTTTACGACGGGGTACAGTAGGCCGATAATACCGAGCGAGATGGCGTAGAACTCGGGGCGCTTGAAGAAGCGGCCGCGGAATAAGGCGCGGTTGCGAGCTGCATCGCGGCGTCGGGCGCGCGCGCGCGCTTCGTCTTGGAATACGGCGCGTTCGTGGGAGGCGCTGGTTAGGTTGGGTTAGTAGGGTTGTTAGGCCTAATTATAGTTTAGAGAGAGGAAGGGTAAGGTAAGTTAAGTTAAGAGTCCTAGAATGGAAGAGAGAAGGATAAAACTATAGCCATAGAAATTAGGACCAAAGAAAAGGTAGGATATGAGCAAGTATGTGTACTCCTGCGATGAGTCCAAAAAAGGAGACTTACAACATAGCTTTGTACGCCTGATCCGCAGCCATCTTCTGCGGGTCCTCCCCATGGTGCTGGTGGCCTCCGGTGGCACAGGAAGCGGCCGGTGGTTGTGGAGGGGCGGGACCGTGGTAATAAGAGGATCGGCGAGAATTCGATGGTAGGGAGTGAGACATGTTCGTCGGGAGGAAATGACTGTACGATTCGAAGTACCTCGTCCGGTCCATATTGAAATCTTACGGAAGTATATCTGATAGTTATACCTGTTTGAAAGTCTAAGAGTTGGGTGGTCATTTATTTTGAAGCGAGTGTTTGGTGAAGCTTGGCTCGACGTCGTTATGATAAAGAGAATTACGGTGTATGGAACTGAGTATTATCCATCCATCCGATCTATCCGTATATATAGGCTATCGAGATTCGATATAGGAAACTATAATATAAGCTAAGGGGCGGTACCTACAATAGAGAAGTGAAGTCAGTTACATTTGGGTGATAGTTTCCATCCATATATTTTATCTGCGTCACCCCTGCCCCTATCTCCCTCCCCCTATTTCCAACTCTTCGGGGATATTCTCATACAGCCAACATCATCTAACTAGGTTTTTGACACTCAATTTACAGAGAAATCACGTAAATTCTTTATACTATAACAGATAATACCCTAACATTAACCACATATAATATACACGAAAGACATGATATACCAAGTTCAATCCCTACATATCTAAATATTGTTCGTACGCACCCGGAACCCGAAACTCCTCTGGCCAATCCGTTTCATCCGGCTCATCCTCGTCAAGTACACCTTCATCAAACCAAGCATCGACATTCTCGCCATTCTCAATCTCGTCGATCTCCATATCATTGAGCATGCGGTTGCGCTCCTCGATCAAGACGTCTACCCACCGAAGCTCGGCGGTTTTGCGTAACGAGAACGCAGTCTGTGCTTCCCGTGTGTCCTCCACCAGCCTTCGCTCTACTTCCTGCATCAGCTCCTCTTTGATTCCCTGCTCTTCCCTGACGCTCCAACGGTAGTTGTCCAACTCGCTGTCTCTCCATTTCTCCCATTTCCTGAAGCTGGCGTCCATTTTACGCTTTAGTTGTTTCATAGCAGCCTCTATTTTAGCTTCGCCATCTTTTTTACGAGACCAATATTCTGTTAATTGGGTATAGTACTGCTCTTCGATTTGGCGCTCCTCGGCTACCCGTGCTATATATTCCCGTCTGAGCACCTTTTCCCGCCTCGCTAACTTGGTCCTTGTAACGGCGCTCAGCTTCTCACGTTCTGCTTTTTGTTTTTCCCGTAGTTCTTCCAGTGCCGCAACACCTTGGTTTCCCAGTCTAGCTTCTTCAGTGCCGTGATCGCGCTGTACGATGATGCGTTGAAGTTCGTGTATGTTTACAAATATCTCACGGAGTTCCAGGTATTTGACTTCTACCGCCCGCCGTCTCTCGCCCTCACGCCTAATGCGCTCCTCGAGTAGCCTCGCCCGACGCTCCTCAGCCAACCGTTCCTGCTCTTGTCGTAACAGCTCAGCTTTAAGCGCTTCTTCGCGCTCGAATTCGGCTACCAATCGTAGAGCCTCTTCGATCTCGGCCTCCTCTTGAGCTTCCTTGTCCTGACGGGCCTGGCGTCGTGCTTCTGCACCTCTTTTGACAGCAGCTAACTGTTCCATCGTACAAGCGCAAGTTCGCCAGCGTGCACCACAAACGTAACAGAACTCGGCACCGCATCGGCAAGTCATATGTTGACATGCTTCCCTATGCTCAACATATGCGTGGCAACCATAGCATCGCTTCCATCCCTCTTCTTCAGCGAGCTCATCAGTTTTCATCATATCGCGGTCCTCGGGACAGTTGTCTCCTTCATGCTGCTGGCCGCGGCAGATGATGCAGGTCCAGTGACCTGTCGAGCACCTTGCGATATTGCGGGCGCGGTTGATTTGATCCGGTCGAAGCCAGAGACTACAGCTTTGCTGGCTGCAGTACACACGTTCACTGATTGGTAGGTTCCACTCTGCTGCTCTGTCGTGATAGATCCTTTTCAGCTCGGAATCGACGTTGAGTATTATGGTAGCGGTTGGAATGGGATTCAGACAGCACTTGGGTGGCCATTGCTGCTCATTGTCACAAGTCGTATGTATAAGGCGTATGAAACAAGGCTTGCAATAGCTGTGGCAAGGAACCTTGATCATCTCCTTAGGGTTAAAGTCGTCCAAGCAGGAGACGCATTCGCTAGAGTACCTAATATTAGTGCTATCCCAGTGACTTTTCAGTTGTTATAGGTACTTACACTTCAGCTTCATGGACCGATGAAGTAGGGCTGCTGTTGCTGTTCGTCGTCGTCCTCTTTAAAACCTCGGATACGAATCGCTTCTTCGCTGTATGAGTGCCCATTTCTAAGCTGCTCCAAGAAATATCCCGCTTATGGCGAGCAGCTCCAGTTGTGCTAGACTCACCCCTTTCTCCAACATTATTCAAACGTCGAAAGAGATTTTTAAACGAGTGCTTTTTTGACTTGATGGGCTGTGCTGGGGCGATAACATCGTGAGTAAGTGATTCTACCCTGGCTAGGGCCGGTACTGGAGCCTGAAGTACTACGTCCTGTTCATCTGGCCTTTCATCTGGCCTCTCATCTAAGGGCGCGTCTGACGTTTCGGTACTCTTGTCTTCTTCATTCTCCTTCCTAAGCTTCTCGTATTGCCTTAATTTCTTAGCATCCTCCGCTTTCCGCCTCTGCTCCTCTTCAAAAATCCGAGTCTTAACCTTCTCAATGGATTCCTGGATGATCCGGACGACTACGTCTGATTTGGAACTCGCTGTGTCTTTCAGGCCTTCGGGAGGTTCATATTGGGTCCAATCGACGGTGACTTCGTTACTTGGCGAACTTGTCGACAAGGAATCATCGTTTACGTTTGCCAGGATAGCTTTCCCTTTCCCCTTCCATTTTGGAAATTCATCATCTTCCCCTATCGGATGCTGTACTAGGATGGCGGGTGCACCAGAGAGTTCCTCCGTCGCGGAGGACGTCGGCTCGATGATCAGCATGCGGAAATAAAGTATGACTTGACAACTTATAATGGCCAACAGAAGGATATGAATTGCTAGATTGTCATCGCAAAACATGAGAAGGTCGCCAGTGAGCTTGCTTCAGCCGCAGAATTCCCCACGTTTTCTATGCTCTGGAGCTTGATTGGTAGCTTTCATGCGGCCCCCGTAACACAACACCCTGAGTGTGCATGGAAAGGAGAAAACAAGGTGATATCAATCTTGCAAGAAAACACACAATAGGTAGGTAGATAAAGAGAGCAGCTATATTGGGGGTAACCTCGAGCCATGATGGGATGTCAAGCTACCTACCTCCCAAGATACGTGATCCCAGCTTGCTAGCTGACGACCTACAAAGACTCCTTAGCTACATAGTTGCCTTGGAACTTAGGCGGCTTAGATAGTAGGGCTGAAAACAGATTCCCCAACTCTAGTACTTCAGCCCCGATCACCGAGACATGGGCCGTATTTCCGTGCCAGTCTCCTTTGCTATACCTCTGCTGATGAAGCGGACAGCGGATATGCAAGCAGCACCTGACCATATCTTGGTTATCTCTAACAAGAAACTAACTAGGTGAGCTACGTGTGCTGCTGCTGATAACTGATTGGCAGGTTTTAGGGAAGAGCTCTAACAACTAACGAGCTGATTGGGGCGGAGTGGCTAATGGTGTTAGAGGCGATGCTAGATGCTAAATCCTACTCGCTTAAACATTCTCATCTGACGTTGGAACAGAGAAAGCCTTGTGCTAATGTAGCTCGAGTCGTTTCTAGTGGAGAAACGTCCGGTTTGATGTAAGACGACAAAGTTTGTCGTTTTATTAATATTAACTGATAGAGCAGCGCTGTGAATGGGGGGAATTGTTTGTCTGAGCTTGTAAATAGCGTATTTTCAGGAGCCGACGTGACACAGTTGCTGCCAGTTGGCTACAGCTGTTCATATGATAGAATTAAACCAGTCATAGCCGAGTCTTTTCTTATCGCCCCAAACGCCGAGGTTAAGGGTCCTTCCAACTACTACACCGAGAGCCTAGGTGCCACTTTTAGGATCAGGTGAGATTGGGGGAAGCTTACATAGAGGGGTGAACTTTAATACTAATAGAATTGCTTGATTTTAGAGATATGCCACTAGCCCGGGCTGAGTGACGATGGATATTTATGGTGTAGGAGTTGTGAGTCTGATAAGCTGCAGGACTGGATCCATCCACATAAGTCGGGCTACGGTTGACCAAACAAAGTACTGTGCCAAAATGAAAAAAATAATCGCACATTAAACTAAAGTTGGTAAAGGGTCACTTGCCACAATTTAAAAAATATTAAATGTATACTTTTAAGCTTTATTACGGTTTATTGTTATAGAAATATTGGTTTAATTAATATAATGTAAAGGATTAACCAATTAAATTAAAAGATTTAATTGTTAATTTAATTATTAATTTTATTGTTAATTTTATTGTTAATTTTATTTTTAACTATATTTAATTACATTTATAAATTTATATAATTTTACAATTTTAACAATTATAACATTATAATTAATATCATTTTATAATTTTAATTAAAGCGAAAATAATTATTTAAATTACATGTTTATACGATGTATTATTGTTAAAATATTTAAAGTATTTTAAAAACAATCGTTTTAAAAGGTATCACGTATACGTACAAATCTTTGGGATAATAAGTATTTAAGTACGGGGCGGCTTTTTACTTTTTTTTAAAATACGCGCTTTTTTATTGGTTAAATTTTACACCGCCCGTTTAATAATATCTTTATTTTTATTTTTATCTTTATTTTTATTTTTACATTACATTTTTATTACAGTTTTATATTTAATTTAATTTAATTTAAATAATAATATAATGGTTATTTATTTTTACATATTACTTTTATTTAATCGCATACATTAATTAAAGATTATACGGTTGTATATAATCATTTTAAGGTAAAAAAGTTAAAAACAAAGTTTTTTTAAATAATCTTTAATATATGTATATATTATATGTATAAAGTTGGTTAATTAGTTAATTAAAAAGTTATATTATATAAAATTATTTAATTAATATTTTTTAAAACGATTATTTTTAAAATATTTTAAATATTTTAACAATAATACATCGTATAAACATATAATTTAAATAATTATTTTCGCTTTAATTAAAATTATAAAATAATACCAATTATAATGTTATAATTGTTATAATTATAAAATTATTTAAATATATAAATAAAAATTAAAATAAACATACTTTTTTAAAGCATATTATATATAACGTTATAATGTATATATTTAAAAAAAATAATCTTTTTTTTTTATATAAAAATGTAAAATACCGTAATAATTCGAGTTAATTGCGCTAACCTGTGGCTGGTTACCCTTTTAAGCTAAGCTCACAGATTTTTTTCATTTTAACACAGTACTTTGTTTGGTCAACCGTACGGGCGGCGGTCCGAGCGTAATATTACTACGTTAAGTAGCTTATCGTTTCTTTGAAAACTTTACTTGTTTGACAAAGTTAATCCAACATTTTTTAACATAAAAAAACCCAAATATTAACCTGTTTATTACAAGACTCAAGGCCAACATCTATAACATATAATATATATAACATATAATATACTTAATTAAAGAGTTAAGTTGTTAACCGTTTCAACTACAATACCGGCAGTATTTAGGTACTTAGGTAGTTTGACGGTAATTGGTTTGATGGTTAATCCGTAAACAGGAGGCTATGTCGTTCATTGGACTATCTTCTAGGCAACCTTTAGACTACCTACCAAATACCATAGTTTCCGTTACACTGCATTGATATCACGGGAAATAGTTACAAAGAAACAAGTCATATTTCCATATTCTATATTTTGAATCTGCAAATGACGCTAATGTGGACACCCCTATTGACAACTCTTAGAAACTATCTCAACGTCGTAATCCCTTGCGATAACTAATATCCGTTCTCAACTACTCTACCAAATACTATTTCCGGATAACTCTCAATATGTCACAAAAGTAGCATAAATGTAAATGTTCGCCACGTATGTCACTAGACTAAGTGTCCAAAAAGCAAACCTGCTTGACAACTAGCATGACGTCATCCCCGATCTACAACAACTAATTAGATGCGAGTATACCTAGTGCATATCTTACTCAAAGAGGGTTAAGGATTGAGAGGTGCCTCGAGCGTCCCCATGAAAAGATATTTGACTCCAACCATCGAGATCATATCAACTTCCCCTGGACATCATCTACCAAACCTCATCTATATCATCAACTGGATATCTCAGCATCAGAATTTCAATAATATTAAACTCAAAATTGAATCGTATAACAATTCTTGTATCTAGGTAGTCACCATTTATAACTCACATTCCACACAAACCAACAACAACCTTCTCCCCTACCACTCAGACATAAAACTACAAACATGACAGCCTCCACACGAGCTTCGACGGGCCATTCCAAGCCACGCGTGCACCTAACCGTGTCCACCGAGCCGGAACGCAAGCGACAAAGCGGCAATACCACCACCACCACCCATCGCCACACTGGCGTCAAGAAGCAGACCGGAGCGACAAGAGCCCCAGCTACCCACCATAAGCGAAAGCCACACCTAAGCGATAAGATTGAGGGCGCCGCTGAGAAGTTGGTTGGCAAGATCACGCGCAGACCGGGAAAGAAGGCTGCGGGGACGCGCAAGATGCGCGGGACGGACGGGAAGGGCAGCCATGTTAAGCGGGTGTAAGGTCTATTGGCTACACAGGTTTTATTTGTGTTTCGGAATGATTTACTGTTCTTGGGTATTATGAGCACTAAAGAGTGAGAACTGTGTACGATATATAGTGTCTAAGGGGATACTCACTGGATATACACTACGGGACGCAGGGGAAATATGGGTATGACAATCTGTTCATGTCAACGTCGAGAGGATAAGTTGTCTTCGGGTGGTGCGAAATACTTGGATCTGATGGAAATGTACTAAATTATATTTCGATCGAATGATTTGTTTCTCAAGATATTTACGTTGTGAATCTGCAAATTGTTATTCTATGTTGTGTATAGCCTACCCAGGAGGCAGTGATATTATAAGAAGGATCCTACTAGAAGAGCTATTTAGGTATGATATCTCATTATCTGTTTTTACTTCCTGGCTCACAGTCACGTCATTCATAATTCTCCTCGAACCCCTCTTGTAGGGAGTGGAATAGAATTGACAATACTAATACTACCTAGCTAGGTTCACTAATTGGCCGGTAACGATGATGACAATAATGATAATGAATTCGTTAACATCCAGTGGGCGTGCAGTTTATCTAAATAGCTTACACTTAATTACCCGAAACGCGACAATGGCGTATAGGATGGCTGGTGTGAATAATGATCGGCTAGGGTCAATCCATACTGCTTTAGGTGCTTTTCGAGAACCTACACTGTGCTCCCCATTACTTAGGGGGTTGGTCGATCGAACTTTAGGACAAGCTACCTATCTGTAGGTGGTATGTTCCATTAGGGTCTCAGGGATTGGACGCGATTATGTGCAAGAAGACAGAGAGTATCCAAAGGTATTTTGTTGTCGTTTTTTTCGCTTCCGAGTGCGATCATCCGAGCACTCTGGACGAGGTTCTTAATCTCGTGTCCGTTGAGATCGTATTTCGATAGCTCACTGAGCACATCATCCATGTTTTCGGAACTGCATATGAAATTGTCCTTGTCTGGGTGCTCAATGAAGTCCCGCCAGATCTGACGACGTACCTGTATGCCGAGGGGGCTGTACGGCTGAAAATGATTGATTAGCGATTGGAAGGCGGAGTCAATACTACTGGCTTTGCTGGTGGTGAGGAATAATATGCCTGTATAGGTTTCAAGCATCCGAAGGAAGGTCGTGACAAACTCATCCTGCTTTTCGTCAGACTGATTATCTCGGGCAGCGAGGAGAAAATCCGCCTCCTCTAGGAGGAAAATAGCATCCCACAAGCGGCAGAGTTCCATAGCCCGCTTTAGAGGCTTCTCTATGTCACTAGGCTCGCCCCCGAGATCCTCCGCAAGCATAGAAAATAGTGGAAGTCTTAGTTTATCAGCAATTGCCTTAGCCGTAAATGTTTTACCGACTCCTGAAGGTCCGCACATGAGGCAAATAAGACTGCGGTCCTGGTTCTGGATGAAGTCGTTGGTCCCCAAATTACTAGAGAGGAGCTTCCCTCTGACGAGATTCAATAACGCCTCTTTCTCGTTATCGGGTAGCAGGAGCTTCTCAAAGGCCAGGTCGTCCGAAGTCGCCTCCTCTAAGTCGTTGATTAAGACCTTGCACCATTTTCTTGTCTGAAGGTCAAAGCACCTAAGCCAAGGATGTATCATGAGTCGCTGTTCGTCAGTCAGGGGTTGTAGATGCTCCTTTCTTCTAACCGAGGGAGCTGGTAAGGATCCAGACGCGGTTTCTGATTTTTCAGTACCGTCTTTTACTGGATGCTTGCCATTGCCGTCAAGTGGCCGTAGCTTGGGTTTGTCAATATTCTGGTTGTCATAGTACGCAAATGCGTCGACACAAATCTTCGACCCAGCCTTTGTTAAGAGGTAAGCAACCAAGTATGCCGTAGTATAAATACGTATATAGTGGGATACTTACCAGTATTATCCGCCACCGTTTATCTCCGCGGTCCCATATCTTAGTTTTTTTGCAACAAGTCATGAACTTATAGCCTCCGAGTTGCTCAAATTTACGGCCTCTCTCGATAAAGGCTGCTCTAAATTTAGTCTCGTCTTCTAAATATGAAATCGGGAATACATCCAACTCCGTGACTCGACAGTAGCCGTCGAATCTATCAATTGTGAACGAACATTCTCGATAACCACATTCCTTGCCGTCCCAATCCACATGCTCTACGTCAATATTCCAGGTCTTATTTTGGTTTGACTCGTACATGCATTTCTCGCACTTGAGCACTCGAGAGACAATTTCCGCGTCGTGTTCTTTACTGAAAATTAGAGTACCTGGAGGAAGTATGTGCCGGATGTTCGTAAAGTCAATGTTGTCTGCTGCGTTAACCTTTTTAGACGAAGAGGGTAAGCCTTTAATAATTGGGGCCAGGAAGGAGAGCAATCCCGAGAATGCATGCTGAGTAGCAGGGTTAGCTTTAGCTTTAGCAGAATACCCTTCTAGTCTGTTCCAACGATGCAGTAGTGGTTGGAAAGGAGGCCGGAAAGTCCAGTTCTCCTTTTTTAAGTCAAGGTCTGGATACATTTTGAGGACATCGCCGAGAACTATAAATATAGCAGTTAGCTTTGTGTTATTTAAGTAGAAATTATGAGATCTTACCCTTTCTCATATGTGGGTCTTGGATGGTGATGGAATCGGTTTCCCAAATATCCCCTTTCCTAGCAAAGCGATGAATGATGGGAGTGTTCGAAGTACGGGCCAGTAAGTCTGCAAAATCTTCTTTGTCACTGTTAAATATGCTCCATCGTGACTGGCCCTGATTGTCAGGTCGCTCGTACCACCTACTGACTAGCTCAGGAGGAGAATCCTGCTTGGTAACTTCAGATGCTTGAGAGTTATTCATATCGTTATGTCGTAGTCAGCTGAGCTATGTTAGCCGCAACACCTACTGCGAGTCATATACCCTGGTGTGTTGATTTCTGTGGAGGTGTTTGTGGTATATTTGCAGGTTTGGGCGGGTAGATGCTCAACTATTTATAAGTATAAATGGCAAGGCAACAACAGCCTTACTATACGGCCAATATGTTCTGCTTAACTCTTAGGCACTGATATGGGTGCCTAATAGCGGACGAAAGATGACAAGATTAGGTACCAATGCGCGGAAAGAAATGAGATTTAATAAAGAACAACAAACATAAACCACAATAGAATACCATAAATCAATCAAGGGATGCATATTTGCCATATAACGGCACTTCCTTGATATATAAAGCTCTTGCACTAGATATGGGGACAATTGCCTGACTAGAACGGGAGATGTCAGATTATATTACGCTGAGGAAACTTACAGAATCGAACCTACCTTTCTACTAAACCAAGATATAATTTAATCAAGTTTGTGACTGATTCATTGTCTCTTGACCTACTTCATATACCTACCTAAGGTACCTGTCTAGGATATTGGGAGCATTAGACATTTAAGGGTTCTAGACCCTTGATATGGCTCAATGTTATTAGGAATTGCCAACTCTTACCCACGCAAGGCAGCCTTTCAAAATATATATAGCATTTATTACCTATATCATGTGATTGTGATGCCAAAAAGAACAACCTGACATATGTGGTTTGGATAGTAGAGATTTAGTACCTTTGGGCAGTACAACCATGTCCTGTAATAACAAAGACCGCTTAGGTAGCGCTTATTTGTATTATGTATTTTCTTAGAGTAGTCTATGAGAGTTAACTATATTATAGACCTAGGTAACTATCGTACCTGACCCGTATTAATCGGTTCACCGTGTTCGATAAACCCAGCTAGCTGAGCGGATAGAGACGTTGTGCTATTTTCCACCGCCTCCATCTGGCGTAATTCCAATAAACGCCCCTCCTCATCCTCACGCAAGGAGCCTGCATTTTGGCCTCCCGTCGGCGCTTTCTGGTAGGTAGACGGCTCAGATATCGCCTCTAGATAGATAGGGGTTGGTTGCCTTGAAGACTGCCGAATAGGAAATAGGGTTGATGCCTTAGAGATGAGTGACAACTGGGAAATGAGCCTGACCAAGGGTCTGAATATAGGTAGACTAGCACATACGATGGCTAGGCCAGCATGCACAGTCGTCCACACTTCGGTGTTCGAATATGATGGGACACGGCTATTAGGTGGGTAGCCAAGAATTACCTTGATCAGACCCGTCACAATAGTACTAGAAGGAATATTAGTTTAAAGCCCCTGAAATAAACACAAGAGGAGGTAGCGTACAACCCGCCTAGCAGAAAAATAATCGAGACGGTGACCTTCCGCCTAGCTGATAGACGCATTCTCACGACAACACTGATAGGTAATGTTAAGATCAACACGTCAAGAAAGATCTCACACGCTCCCGATGCCATCCAGAAGATATTATAATTGAAGCAATATCTCGGGTCAGCCAAGCTATTATTCCAGCTCCATTCGAGGGGGATACAGTTCGTCAATGTAGCTATAGTGCATCCAACCCACCATCCAATGACCAAGGCAACCGATAAGAATAATTGATAGCGAAAAGCGGTACTAACAGCAAAGATGCGGTAGTACATGAGCAATATTCCTAATTTAGTTGCGCCTGCAATGGTGAAATATAGGATGGAAGATGCAAATGAAAGCTTAAGGTAAAAGACGTCTTCAGCTGTATAAGTGTAGTCTGGGTTAGTGTTTTCCGAAACCCAGAGGCCGTCCGGATCGACGCTGTTACCTATCACAGCTGTTAAGAGGATGGCTATCTCGATAGTTGCTGAACATACCCCAGAGGAGAAGTACCGCTGTCAAAAGGGTTGCGATGACAGCGACCAGAATCAACCAGTCGTCTCCTCCTAAGCCTAGCCGAGTAAACTTCCGAGTGTAGAATCGTAGAGCAACTGATATAACAGCAAGTGCAATGACGACTCCGCTAACAGCCAACGTCGCATCCCCGCTGCTTTCAGACGGTTCTGAGATAGGTGCCATGATCCTGTGCCTGTGAATTCTTAGTCGTGATTAGGACTAAACGAAAATAACTAGAAAACCCCGGACACTCGTTCATGGGTATATCCTCGCCACGGAGGTGCTACTAAGGTGGGCGACATGATAAGTTCCTAATAATAAGCTGGGTTGACCAATCTACGCCATTGTGGTGACGGAGGGGTAACGCGAGAATCGCAGTGTAATAGTGCCGCAACGAACGACCATATCGTGGAAATACTACACAGCCCCCAAAGCCTCATGTACCGCACGCGCATAACGTGGAGGTTGTCCAATTGAAACAACGGGTAAGCCTGTTGTGATACGATGTTGTATATGTATATATGTAGTATTGATATCCTGCATGATCCGTCTGCGTCTAAAATTTAGTTGGTGGAACAGAGAACAGATCACAATAGTTTAGGAGGTACCTACATTTATTAAACAAGTATTAGGTAAATTGGAAGTATCGATCGGGAAGCCCCGTGTAGGCGTTTGTACTTGAGATTCATTTAAAAAAGAAGTTTTATTGGTTAAGAGTTGGAGTAAAATTGGAACCCTACAAACATTGGAGAAGTCAACTTACCAACCGCAACTGTCGTCCCCTTTTTGTCCCCTTTTTCGAAGTAAGCAGAACATTGTCGTCTTTCTTAATCTCGTCATTAGACCTCGTCATTAGTTACAAAGGTCTCAGCAATTGGAATACCAATTACTTAAGGTGTGGGCAAGATGGGGTCGTTTCTATCTCGGAATGAATTCCCAGTTGAAGGACGAGTATGCCTTTTTCTCTTTTCTAAACTTAACTTTTATTCTTGTTAAGGTAGGTACCTAAGGTAAGTACTTAAATAACTAATATTCCTCACAGACAGTCCTCATCACTGGCGGCTCTAGAGGTCTTGGTCTAAACGCCGCCCGCCAATTGGCAGAGAAAGGCGCCAACGTCATTATCGTCGCGCGCAACGAAGCCAAGCTACAAGAAGGCGTTTCCTATATTTCAGTAAGACAGTATCCCCATTAATTTGTTAGTCCTTAATTTATGTTGATGAGCTGATGACTTTCACTTAGAAAGGCGCCCGCTCGCCTGAGACACAACGTTTCCACTACATTAGCGCCGACGTGACCACTTCTGCCGAGTGCGCTCGCGTGGTTACTGAATCTATCGCGTGGAATCATGGCTCACCACCCGATATTGTTTGGTGTTGTAGCGGTAGCGCGCATGCGACACTTTATATCGATACTCCGCCAGAGCAGTTTCAGACCATGATGGATAGCAACTATTTCTCATGTGCATACATGGCACACGCCGTGCTCAACGCCTGGCTACGATCTAATCCGGATGCAACGAACTCTGAGAGACATGCAGAATCTACGTCTCAGCCAGAGACAAAGGCGGTTTCACTACCGGCGCGCCATCTCATCTTCACCGGCTCGTTCGTTTCATTCTACAGCTTTGCCGGCTTCACGCCCTATAGCCCTTCTAAAGCAGCTATCCGTGCGCTTTCTGACTCATTGTCTCAAGAGATGAACCTCTACGCGGCGGCACATCCTAATATCCCCCGCGTGCGTGTGCATACTGTATTCCCCGCTACCATGCCCACTCAGGGGTTAGAAGAAGAGAACAGTCTCAAGACCGACCTGACGAAATCCCTCGAGGAGGGTGATCAGATACTCGAGCCGGAAGAGGTTGCGCGCCGCGCAATTCGTGGCTTAGAAAACGGCGAGGACCTAGTACCTACAAGCACCATCATCAGGCTTGTGATGACAAGCGTACTAGGTGGCTCAACACGCGGAGGTTTTTGGAAGGGATTAGTTAATACTCTACTGGGATGGGTCGTTCTTGTGGTGATGGTGTTTATAAGGTGGGAAATGGATACCAAAGTCACAAAGTGGGGAAGGGAACATGGATCAAGCGGGATGCTCAAGGCGAAGGGGAAATGATGAAAGTGAACATGTTGGTCCAACACGGAGACTACTATGTATAACAGTAGCTTTTGATTTCAAGGAGACGGTAAGACGATGATACAATTCTCCCTTTCTGGAGACTTTAAGTCTAAAGAACACTGACGTTACTATAGAACTAGGCCTCTAATCAATCATCTATCTACTTATCATAGGTACCTAACTAACCTATCTAATGCGAGAGAAAAGGGGAGTCAAAAAAAACAGCTTGAAGCGTCCCATAGGTACCTAGGAGGTAGTCACATATTGGAACTTTGATGTATTGAAACTACGGTCAAAACAACACACCGTACAGCCAGTTGAGCAGTCCCTGGACGTAGAAGCCAGAGTTTCAAGAGTAGGACATAGGCCTGTTCAGTTGAGTCTTATGTATAGACGATTGTATATTGTTTAGCTGGAACTAATTTTTACTAGTCACTGGCCGTTAGTTAGGACATGGACTATAGGTACCGCACCGAGGAACTTCTTAGTATTACTGCGAGTAAGACAATCTCAAGTTAAATCAAATTCCCCCGTTTAAGAACTTCAAGACACTCGTGCTTGAACGTTCAAGGACTATTCAAACGTCATATTTCGGGCCCGTTCACAACTCCTTGCTCTTCCCATTCCCATCTAGATCCGTGGGATCGTCTAAATCTGCGAACAGCTTTATACCCCAGCTTTTTCCAGGGTCGTTCATCCTCGTCTTCTTATCCTGGGCAGCGATAGCCTTCATGTCATTCTCCGTAAGCTTTATATCCAATGCCTCGAGATTCTCCTTGATGTATTGCTCGTGAATGCTCTTTGGAATCACAGTGGTTCCTCTCTGGATGCCCCAGGCCAGCAAAACTTGGGGTACAGTTGCGTCCTTTTTCGCAGCTATAAATTTCCAGAACGGATCCTTCATGATGGGTCTGACACCACTATCGTAGGTTGGATTTGTATTCGCAAGTGGTGAGTATGCAATGACCTTGATGCCGACTTCTTTGTGGAAATCAACGAAATCTTGCTGCTGCAGGTATGGATGCGTCTCGAATTCATGTGCGTATGGGCATATTGTGCACATAGCTAGAATATCCTCGACGTCCTTCTTGGCGAAATTGGAAATGCCAATTTTCCTAGTCAGGTTGGCTCTAACAAGGTCTTCCATGGCCCGCCAAGTGTCGAAGATAGATGTTCCCTCATCTATCTTAGTTCCCTCACCAAGAACAAAGGCGACCGGCCAGTGCATGAGGTAGAGATCCAAATACTCCACGCCGAGGTCTGATATCGATTTCCGGATTGCTTGTTGGACTTGGTCAGGGCGGTGATGGTCATTCCACAGCTTGCTTGTCACCCAAATGTCTTCTCGAGAAGCACCTGCCCAAGCTATCCCATCGCCAGTTTGTTCTTCATTTCCTATGCATCACATTAGTATTAACGCGAATTATGGGATACTAACAGTTCGTACGATAGATGAGAGCGGCATCTATATGATTATATCCTGAATCTAAGGCATATTCAACAGCATGGGCAACCTGCAAAATACTATAAGTACACCATTGATTATATTCTACTTTAATTGAGATATATTCTACCTTTTCTCTGTCGGAGAGCCAAGTGCCTAGGCCGATTTTAGGTATATCCTTGACTCGCGAGATGTACCTTTCGGCGTTTACCGAGACTACCGATAGGAGGAGAACGGAAAGAGGGGCAACAATAGTCGTTATAATCGGTAGAGACGGAGGAAATATCATTTTGAGCAATTGTCTCTTTACCTAGAGTAGAGCAAGGATCATATGATTGAGTGACTGAGTGAGTGGGTGGTTATTTTTGTGTGATCCAATGTGGTTCCACGGAAGGATCTTGATGGGTCTATGTATTGTCATAATGTCGATTCATGACATCATTAAATAAGAGTCATTTGCCCTTTAACCTTTTGGATCGATCCAGGCGATAAGTAGTACGGAATGGCTGCTCCAGAAACGTCGCAATGATGACGTTTATTTCTGAGGGACGATAGTAAGACAGACTGTGCGCAGTATGGTCTATATATCAGTAACGTCCATAAAAGCGTGGTGAAACCCTGCTCTGAACAATTCTTTGTTAAACTTCAAGCGCATATTCCTTGTCCAATTATCTGCTATCAACTCTTTAACAGCTTTATACCTTAGGTACAGAATATCGTTGAGAATATCATCATGGTCGGCACCTACGCAAGTCCTGGTGTTTATGAGCATGGCGACCAGGTCAACTATCCCCGAGCGGCTATAGTAAATGAAAATAAGCATCATATAAGCAATGCCCTGGGTTATATGCCTAGTATGTCTCAACTCATCATGATTTCTATGTTGCTACTATTAATACATTGTTCACAGAGGATCAAAACAGAGCAATGGCCCAAATGATCGAGGAGGATGTACGTCCAACGAGCAAGCCAATAAAAAACATTGGCCATTTTATTTGATACTACCTCTGACCTCTTGTTGAGCACAGACCCAGGAAGAGATTGCTGAGCGATATAAGCACGATCCTACTTACAGCGTATGTTATTTTAAGGGATCAAAATTCGCTCTACTAGTCTCTCCATGCTTACACTTGTAACTATAGGCAACAATGAATGGACACGAGCCTTCACGGGGCGCAAAAGTTGACGCCGATATCAAGCGGGAGGAAGAAGAGCTACTAAAAAAGAAGAAAGAGAAAACTGATAGTCTGCCAGGGAAGAAACTTTAGTTTGGAACCGTGTGATATAGTCTGGGTATGATGGGTCTGTCACCTCGCCCGGTGCTTCGGGGAGAGCGCGTATTTCTGGGACGCGTGTACGAGGAAAAAAAGGGGGGGCCTTGTACCGTCGAGACTGATACGGTGGTATGAGAATCTAAGAGAAACAGAGTATTGGAGAAACTCGATGCCGGCTGGTGCGACTTTACTACCGTTATCATAGGTCAAAGGAAGCCGCTCTAGGCTGTATTATGTCTAGCTTCTCTACACATTTATAGTAACTTATGAATGAGAGGTAGTTATATAATGTAAACAAAGCCTCATAATTGTATCAATCCAGAACTGCACCGTGGCGGGACGAGAATGGAGGATGTGCTTCTCCAATAATGATTTTGGGAGATGTTACCCAGCTTCCGCGAGCGAATTAACCGGGAAGCGGGGGAGCACAGTAATATAGAGACCAAGTATATTCCATCTTCGCCCTAAGCGTAACATGTTGGGGTAATTAGTTCCTTCTCATCGTCTCGTACATTATAGTCGTGCAGAAAATAACAATAATATCATGCTAACTCCGAGCGGGAAGTTATTGAGATATTAGTAGCTTTCCGATTCTGAATGGTACGTTACACACCTAGGTCTATATAAGGAGAGTAAACACTAACGAGGGGGCTTCAGGCTGAGGCTCTCAATCCGGCTGTCTGCCTGGATGTCATTATCATAGGCGCTGGCATAAGTGGTCTAGCGACTGCTATAGAAACTGCATTATCTGGCCACCATGTGACTGTATTCGAGACAGCAGAAGGGCTCCATGAGGTAACACAATCATATAGAAACACCTTTATGAACTTTTCTCCTTATTTACACGATTGTAGATAGGGGCTGGGATACAAATTACACCAAATTCTTCACGCATACTACAGCGCTGGGGCCTTTCAGACGACCTGTGGGCTTCGGCTGCCGAGCCTACGTCTTTAACCGTCCGCCGATACTCTGGTGAAGTCTTAGTTGTAGAGGAAGACTGGAAAGAGAAGATACGAGCAAGATACGGTGCTCCTTTTATCGAGTTGCACCGGATCGATTTCCAAACAGCACTTTATGCACGTGCTATAGAACTCGGTGTACAATTTCGATTTGGGGTAAGAATAAGCAGCGTGAACTTCGAGACGGGGGAGATCACAAGCCAATCAGGGGCGAAAATACGGGGAGATCTAGTTGTCGCTGCCGATGGCCTGTGGTCTCTTTGCCGGGCACAGTTCCTCCCCAAGGACTTCGAAGGCGTCCCAAGACCGACCGGTGATTTGGCATACCGATTAGTCCTCAAACTGGATGAAATTCAGGACCCCGAGTTGAGGGAATGGGTAAGTAACCCAAAGTGTAATATCTGGATGGGCCCTAAGTCGCACGTTGTCGGATACTCGCTCCGAGGAGGAACTGAGTTTAATCTGGTGCTGATGGCCCCGGACGACTTACCAAGCGGTGTCAGCCGTCAAGCAGGCTCTGTGGAGGAGATGAAGGCGCTTTTTAGGAATTGGGATCCGATCTTAAACAAGTTCCTCGCGCTCGTTAGTTCTGTTAAAAAGTGGAAGTTGATGCATCGTGAGTTTTCAGTTATTCTTGTCTCTTGATATTACCGAAAATCTAATGATAGTCCGATTCTAGGTAAAGAGATGCGGAGATGGATCCACGAATCTCCCAATGGCAACTTTGCCTTCGTGTAAGTTTCCGTCTGACAAATCGGTGAACGTCTTGTCATTGCTTGCTAGCCTGGCTAATTCATTATCCAAGCGGCGACTCCTGCCACCCTATGCTGCCGTACCTCGGCCAGGGGGCTAACTCTGCCATCGAAGACGGCGCCGTTCTTGGCCGCTTATTAGGATATATCCAATCCAAGGAGCAGATCGGCAAGGCGTTGAGGATGTACGAGCAACTTCGAAAACCACGAGGAGACGCTATTGTAAAGGAAACCTTCGGACAAGTAAGTTTATGTGTTTTACAGAAAGACTGAGTTATACCTATTAAGACTCTTGGGATTACACCTCCGGATGTTATATGATAACCTGGTGAAAATGCTGGCTGACAACTACTAGCGCGACGTATTTCATATGATCGATGGCCCCAAGCAACGGGCACGAGATGAGTTACTATTATCGCAGATAGACAAGGAAGTCAAGACAGCCCCTTTTCCAATTCGCTGGTGCTGTCCCCAGGTGCAACCCTGGTTATATGGTTATGATGCATGTGTGGAAGTAGATAAGGCTGTCAGCGAGAACCCCTTTATCATTCCGCAGGAGGAAGATTCGGACTTAGACGATAGCGGCATTGCACTTGAGAGTTGAAACTTTGGAGTATCACGAACAATCCAAAGCGCGAACAAGGTACGCGACCCCGCTGCGTTCAGTGCATATAATGAAGTTATAAGCAACTTTGACTGGCAGCTTTTCACAGTTCGAGGTCATCAAGAAATTTAGAATCACTTCTTGATATTGGATATATTTATGAACTATTCTGCTATGCATCTTCTGTGAAAGGAATCTTAGCGCTGGATATGTATAGGATATGCTTCGTATGATAACCTTTAATCGTTGGTCGTTTGCCCACTCTTGTAAACATCTAAAGATCTGGAAAAATGAAATTATATACCTAACTGGTGCCAATGGCTACCCTCGCTACCAACTTTAACAATAATCGTACCAGGCGTAAAATATCGCCATCGAAGGGGGTTATCGTTCTACAACTTTCCCTTTCTCTCACCTGGTTTCCATTGGCGCTGGCATATGCCATCTTGGTATTCCGTAGCGACATGCACACCTTTCGGGCTCCAGATCTTGCTCATAATGACCGCCCTCCCGGCTTCAAGTCGAGGGAAGCATGCTTCTTGAATCCACCACTCATTTTCGCCGTAAGACATTACCGCGTCCTCGGGATTGACGTGCACCACGAAAGAGTAGCTCAGACTAGCGGCGCGACCGAAGTCGTACCCGAACCCGACATGGTTACCTATCATGAGCAACCCATTCCTATCTGCTTCGTACGCATGAGTGCAAATGTGCGAATCGGGGTGATCCGCGGGTAAAGGGGCAAGCAGCCGATATAGCAAAAGCTCCCGCCGCTCGTGGAGCGGTTTGCCCTCGTTAAAGGCGGCGAGGTCGACCTTTTTCATATCGACTGCGGGAAAGGTCCCAGGGTTCCGCATCGGAAACTCGTCTACGGTCTTGGCGATATCGATATGTGGCGCCGGATCCCATGCCGAGGGGGGCCGGGAGTTCAGGATATCTGCGAACCGCGTCTGCGCTGGCAGTTCCTGGGCTACATGCTGTGAGACTACAGACGGTCTAAAGGACACTAGAGCATTGAAGCAAACTGGGCCAAGGGGAAGCTCGGCGTCGGCAGGCGGAAAATGATCTCCTGCTGGATTTGTGCTCGGTGATAGAGGCTGTCGCACTGTGACTAGAAGATTTGGAAATGAAGGGTTTGGCGCCAGAGTAGTCACACTGTATATAAATGGCCTATCTATGAGACCAGCTTCCGAAAAGTACCCATGAATAGTCTACGTCTATTAGTAAATCTAGGTTTTATATATAGTCAAATGTCGTCAAATAACTCCCAGCCCTACGGCTTACGTCTATTTGCTAGAACGGACTACGTTGACGGGCTTGGATGACTTACATGAATACCGACTTCCTTTCGAGGAGCACCAGCCCGCGAAGTTTGCATATCCGCCAGAGCTTTAGATGCAGCTATTCCCGCTTGGCTGTACACGTGTCCACCGAACGCCACTTTTCGTTTCGGAGGCCCATTTCGCAATCCTGAGTATACGGTTTCGCTCGCGATTGAGACGTCGCCTTCCGGATACCATGCGCTCCGTTGGCTCATATACCGCTTTACGATCTTGCCATTCTCGACCTCGTCCGGAAGAGCGGCCAATCTGAAAACCTCCTGGGCTGGGAGGCGCTCGTTTGACGGCATTTTAGCGGGACGAGGTATAAGAGGTATATAAAAACTCCATTTAAACAGTGAGCAGGTAAGAAGCGAAATAAGACATTCCTCCGGACGCGATGCAGATAAGCTACCTAGGTAGAAAAAGGCTTGGAATAATATAACCTCGGGATTAAGAATAAGCAACTATACCGTATTAGAAACTTACCGAGGGCCATGGGTAAGCAGAAAATGTCACGTGATACCCCCTGATTATACCCCCTGGATAGATTTAACCATGTTGGTATTTTCTTATTAGTGTTCTTATATACCTTTAGTCCTCCCTTAAATGGTACTACATACGTATATATTCTTGTGTCCTCCATCACGAATTATTATGTATCCCGCAAGTATAATTCCTGCGGCTTGTAAGAGGATGATATGGTACCGCTTGAATAGTATGTAGTGCATCCAAGATCTGCAAAACGCTCACGTGCACTGCCAACTAGAAGCATCGTTCTGAAGACCTTGGCCATCATATGTTGCCGTTCGTGGAAACGCGCAAAGAGGACGTTGTCTGTGCATCACAACCGCCTGCCCAGTTGAATCCGAGAAGTTGAATCCCGTCGCGATGATTTGGGACACCGCATTGCCGTTCTCGACCCAATCCATCAACGCTAGCAAGGCGTCGTGCTCCTTGTCCTTGTAGCCGGGGACCGAAGACCCGGCATTGTAAGGTGGTACCTGCGCTGCCTGGCCTGCGCCAGCGATCATCCACGGAACGTTGAAGTTAGGATTGCCGGGGCCAGCCCAGCAGTGCCCCATTCCTGGAATCTGGAAGTATCGGAAGAAATCGTCAACACTTCCCATAGCTTCTATCGTCCGGTTGTAGTACAGAGTCGTGTGTTGCACTGGTACGGTGGCGTCTGCGAGCCCCCCATACATAACTGTGTTACAAAAGTCAGCTCGCCTCTATGGAATCGAAGAAGTATTTCGGGGAAAGGGAAGGGACGGTTCTCTGGATCATATCATACGTACTGATTTTGCCTTTGCCTCGAAAGCTTCCAAGGTCAAATTGATCTGCGGAGGCGTGCACCGAGTTCTTATCACGAGCTCTAGCATCGTCCACGACGCTGTCGTTATATGAAGTGATCTGCCAGCCATTCCCATAATCCATGAATGTTCGTTCGTACTGCGCATCAAAGCTCCTTCTAACGTTATTAGCGTCATTAGGGCTGGCCGGCATCAGGAACGTCCCCCATTCCGCCTCGGAACTGTAGTCCAACCCTGAGTAAACGAGCTCTCCGCCCTCGGTGATGTAGTCGCTGTACATCTTCTGCGCCGTTTCTATCTGTGCCTGAGTCCAACAGGCGGTCTTGTCTGTTGATACGTCACAGCTAATCTGGGTAATATCAAACTGTTCTCTGCATGCCGAGAGCGAGCTAACGATCCCATCTTGCATGCCATCCAGAGGGTCGCATTGTTTCAACACCTCTGCCTGGAGCCGCGAGAAGAGAGCTTGGTCACTAATGCTGCCGTCAGCATCCTCCGGGAGATTCCACATCGCTAACTGAGAAATCCAAGGCATCAAATTCTTTGTGTCCCATGCTGGTGCCCCAATCAAGGCCCCATCAAACATGTCAGGGTCTCTCTCTATGGCAATAAGTAAGCAAATATTCATCCCCACAAGTAGGCTATATATTTGGAAATATGTATTCCAGAAAGAAGGCAAAATAGATAGGGGTAGAACAATTGCTAGTACTACTTACGGATTTGTTTGAGGCCTTGTCTACCTCCAGTCGAGCATCCACTATAATACGAATACGCGATCTGTTTGTCCTTGTAGTATGTTTGAATGAGTGTTTTACCTAGGGTTATAGAACCCTCCATTGCCTGGTAAGCCCAGTTGACTCGGAGTTGTTCAGTAGTTGGCCATGTCATATCTCCTTGACCCGAGTTATGCCCAGTGTCGGTAGCAAGAGTAGCCACGCCATATTTCACTCCAGCTCCCATATCGAGCCAGTTAATGCCGCCGAGGAACGCATAACTCCCAATGACAAGGAGTTTCGAGTTCCAGGTGTCTGGAAGGAACATTCCGAAGCGGTAATTTGCCGTCTCATTTTTGACTATAACCGCGCAGAGCGACGGAAGCCCAGATGCAAATGTAGGATAGCCTAGATTTCCCTGCTCCGTAAAAAATCCGCTCGTGACATCTTGGACGCTCTCTATCGAGATACCAGAAGGGACTATCCCATTAAAATAGTCTGCGGTACATCCCGCAGATTGGCGAGGTCGCTTTGCATACGGCGTACTGTTAGCATGATATGCAAAGAAGCTTAACAGGACCCAGAGGACCGGAACTATTATAGTAGCCATTTGGATAAATGCTGTAAAACTCAAGTAGCCTTACCGATGATCAATAGCTCAATATAGCTGGCAGCAGCTAGCAGATACTTATAGGTCGGCTGGCATGTCACAGATGTTGAATCACCGGGGCTAGGACAAGGCCTATTGTGCACACAAGGCCTATTGTGCACATTTCTTTGTAAGCTTATAGTCCCCATGTATAAGCTACTTATTGTGTTATTCGTCCAGACTACATTGACGTAAGGGGCTACTGGAAATTTGAGCACTTGACCTACCCGTTCTAGCTGCAACCCGGCTTGCTATACGTAAGATAATTCTAGGACAAGTTAAGGATAGCACGCTACTTTTGGTCCAGGGGGACCAATTAGAGGTGCTCTAGACGTGTAAGACCTAAAATGGCTTTGGTGTAAGAGCATTCTTTAGCATGTCTCTGTCTTGCTGAAGATCTTTTTTAACAATGTCTTTCATTACACAACCTAGAGTGGTGACTATGACGTCAAAGAAATCAATCATCTTGGAGGCTTGATCTCTACCTACTGGATCCGGGCGTATTCTCGGGATAGAAAGATGAGAGGCTTGTGGCACGAGACGTTCTCATTTTTCTGTCAGGAAGCTGAACTAAGTCATCTATTCGTCTAGAAGAGCCATGGCTTAATACTGTGGCTACCTCCTTTGAAGGCTTATTTTAAGAAACCTCGGCTGTTCGGTTCAGTTTCATAACGTCCAGTAATAGCATTGCCGACTGTGTGAAGAAGAAAAAAGCCTCCACGTGGCGCAGAGTAGTCCTTTGTTTGTTGAAAACAATTGCATTGTGAATCTTATTAGTGAAGACGCTAGCAGCACGAGTTCGAGAATGCGAACAAGCACATTATACCATGTAACCCTACCTACTACTAAGATCCAATCCGGGGAATTGGAGATTTCTGGATGCAGCCTTTCTCCGCACCATCCATCCCGCAATGCATGTCCTCGTGGTATACTGGGGTGCATGGCCTTCCCGCGCATTAGAAAACAGAGACTCGGGATTATGCGAATAAAATGACTCAAGGAGTTACCTAAAGCAATGTGCCCTACTCGTTACGTTACTAGAATAGGATCGAGTGACTGAATAACTGCCGAATTTGATCTTCTTCTAAGCGGCACGTCTTACATACTATTCCTAGCTACGAATTACCCCAACATGTGAATCATGATGCAGGCATCATAACATGACAAGTTTCCATGCATCAAACTTAGTAGAGGATTGGCTTCGCATATCGCGCCCTTCGGACACCGCGCTTTAATGAAGCGTCTAAGATTAAAGACTGCCAGACTGATTCGAAATAAGTGCAATTAAAGTATCCTCTTTACTTGCACTTAAGAGATATTTTCAATTTGCAAACATCCACAATCATTCATAACCTAAATGTTTGCCTTTTTAGTAACCAGATTATATTCTTATTGGCTGAGACTAATTTTTAATTCCAGCAGGCCGTTTCTTTAGGTAATTAAAGCGTGGCGCTAGTGGGTTGTGGGACTTACAGAGGTACCTAACGTTTGGTACCTAATGGTAATACAGATCGATTCACTTATATAGATCTTCCAATTGAAGGTGACTTTCCAGCATGCGCTATCGATTGAAATGTTGAGTGGAATTTTCAAATATCAAGTACGACTTGTTATAATTTCTATTTTGTGAAACATATTTCTGTGCTGCTTTACTTACCTAGGTACCTAGGTATCCCTTCTATCCCTGAAGTAATATTGGCCTAGTTAGGTACATAGGTACCTAAGTTACATATATTGTTGGTATACTTCAAGTCCTACTAACTACTCCCCAGTCTCGTGTATCTCAAACTATTATTTATAGGAACGGTGCTTGCACACACAATATTTACTATCAGATTATATGAATGTGTACTTAATGGCATGCTAGTCTATAAACTCGCTTTCGTTTACTGTTTAAGACGGACGCAAAAGACCAAACTTCAATTTGCAGTAGCTGTCAACTGCCTACTTAATTCATACGAGTCACGACCATAGAAACTGACAGCTATGTAGCAGTTCCTCTGAACTCTTAGCTGTCATCATAGCGATATCAGGCCATTAGTAAGCCCCGTCTCCTAAAAGTGACTGGAGCATAATTATTATAGGGGAATCTCTTTAACCGGAAGACCTCGTAAACCCAAGTCTAGACTGCATTTGATTCTACTAATAGCTCAAGTGAACCAGAACAAATAATCTTGAGGTTACGAGGGCTTCAGGGTCGGCTATATAACAAAAGTTCTAGACGTCTGTGTGACTTGCAGGTCCCACCGGCGATCAACTGCTACACCCTGCTGCTCATGTATCCGTAGGGACACATTTAGGTAGAGTTGTGCTATTTACAGATTACCTTGCCAGCCCTTCCAGACAGATTACTTTTCAGAAGACTGGCATGCCACCTGTCACCAATTTTACTAGTAAAATGACATGGCTTAATTCGACTGACTTACCTTCATAGAACATTGTAATTTTTCAATAACCACAACGAATTAAAAGCCTATTTTTATATGTGCGTAATTGTATTAATAAGGGGAATCTTCTCGTGTTTATTAAAAATTAATTAGTAATAGCGTTACGGGGAGGTATACTGAGTTACTTACAGGTGAAATTTTTTTTTAATTCATCGTTGTTGACGAAGAAATTACAAGACTTCTTAAAGGGATACAGGGCGGAACTGAGGAATGTCATTTTACTAGTAAAATTGGTGGCAGGTGGCATGCCAGTCTTCTGAAAAGTAATCTGTCTGGAAGGGCTGGCAAGGTAATCTGTAAATAGCACAACTCTTTAGGTATATCGAACGTCACTTCCAGTAATTAATATACAGCTAAGCATTGATCTTCGCGGGCATCTTATCGTTGACGAATAAGATAGCCGTCGAAATTTTCCTTTTCCCGGTATCCTTGACGCCAATTATCCGGTTCCAGAAGGTTGGCGACCGGAAGACTGCAGGCATTTGGGATAAATGAAATGGTAAGATGCAACTCAGGATCATCCCGGCGGAACCTATCTTTTAGGACATATTTGGAGGCTCTACGACGTTATCTATAAATACTACTTTATGCCCACGGTTGCATCTCACGTTTGCAATCAGTCTACTATTTTACCCCTCCACTCTTTAGCAACGGAACTAGGAGAAACTTCAACTACTAAAGAAATTTCATCATGAAGGCCATAAGCTTCATCACGGGCATTTCTCTGGCGATATCTGCCCTCGCGGAAGGGGACCCGCCGCCTCCGCAGTTCCCGCTTGTTCTCGGAGTAGTGTCGGAAACTCCTTATCAATGCGCCCCTGGACAAAGCATGAACATCACATTCCTCCCGGATAGCCTCAGACTGGACCTTCCTAGCATGCGATTTGGCACAGAAGGACATGGCAGAACGGACGAATATGCTGGTTGTCAGTTTACTGTAGAGTTCACCTCTTGGTGGTACAAGTACCGTTTCGCGATCCGAGACGTGACTTATAGAGGACACCTCAATGCAACCGACGGCGTCCAGCTATACCAGTTAAAAGCCAATACGGTTTTCAGATATGAAAATCGGAAGGTCAACCCGGGAAGAGCACCGCCTGACATCTGGAACGTATCTATGTCTACCATGGTGAGTTTCCTCATTGCCTGCCTGATATACCTATTCCTAGCTTCTCGATCTCTCCAATTAGAGTGATAGTACAGCCACTAACGAGCTTATAGATCGATAACACCGCCAAAGCAACTGTTGGAGGCGAAGGGAACTTCGATGATAACTTCGAAGTGAGCGGCGGTAACAGTTCCAACTTAGAGTGGTCAACGTGTATGGATGGTGGCGAGGGCTCGGGCGACGTTAAGACAAAGCTCTCATTCAATATCGGCGCGACTACAAGCGATAAGAGTGGCAAAGGCACTGGTATTCTAACCCGTGGTTTGACGTTGGACTTCGGACTTGTCTGGGAAGAATGCTATCCCGACCGATCAGTTAAGAACGCATGGGGTCAGACGCGGATCGATGACTGGTCGGTCTGCACGTACAACACGAATAACGAAACCTCGCGGACAGTCTCGCGAGCATTACGTCGTGGACCGGGTGTGCCATTATAGGTTATGTCTTGGAATGAAGAAGCCAACAGGTATCTTGGGTATTTAATATAGGGGTCTCATCTCAGCGCATCAGCTAGGTATCTAACTCTCTTTAATTGCCCCGTATTACCAGATACTGTCCCAATTTCGTCAGACATTTCAGTTACGCGACGTCTATTAGCATTAGTATTCAAAGAAAATGAGTTGACTACTACCGTATATCTTCCAATTATCTGCTTCTCATTACTTGCTCCCCTCGTAATCCTCGCCGATAATATCGGGAGTAATAGCTTGCGTTGTTATGTTCATAATCTCATCCGCATCCCTTATCTTCTCAATCCTTCCATCCTTCATCCAGACCACAACATCTACCCCTTTCCTCAAGTGGGCCACGGCTGCACCCACTCTATGCGCAACCATGATTACGGTATGTCCTTTGCAGGTGAGCTCTTCGTGGACAATATCGAGTATCAGCTTCTCAGTTGACGAGTCAAGGGATGAAGTAGCCTCATCGAGCAAAATTATCGGTTTTGCACCCGATGTATTTATGGTGTATACTTGTAATAGTGCACGTGCTAGAGCTAGCAGCTGTCCCTGTCCGACCGAAAGAGACGGGAGCGATGCGAGTGTTTGATCTAGGATCGGATGAGTGCTTGAATGGGCGTCGTGCAATCTGTCAAGGTTCAGGGTAGAATTAAAATGATGCCACAAGCGCGCTTTAGAGAGAGCGTCAATTATAGTATCGTTGGAGAGAGTCTCCGTTGGGTCTACATTGAATCGAAGGGTTTGTTGATTGAGAAGCAAGGGCTCTTGAGGTACCGTCACAAAGCAGCGTTCTCGTATTGTCGAACGAGGCACGTGGCTGATATTTATACCGTCGACTATAATTGAACCCGATTTCGTATCTAATAACCTAAGAAGAGTGAGCAGTAAAGAGCTTTTACCACTACACGAGAAGAAGTCAGTACGCAACCCCTGAGATGTACATGTACGAGTACTTACCTCCCAGTTCGGCCACACACAACCACCTTTTGCCCAGGCTTAACCTGTAGGTACACATCTTTAAGCGCCATGCTTTCCTCATTATAAGCAGCCGTAAGGGCTTGAATCTCGACGGAGCCAGAAGACGGCCATGTCTCCGGAGGTATATTGGTTTCGGATGGCTGATCCTCGGGGGGCACTTCCTCTTCTAGTGTCTTGATCCTAGAGATGGCACCGAGAGATATTTCCAGATTGGTCCACGATTCAACAAGTCGGAGAAGCGTAGTGTTGGCGACCAGCACAATGTTTAGGGCAACACCGACTTGGCCACCCGAAGTGGTATCCCGGAGAGCGACAGCAAGGGCAATGACTCCGACAGCTATCCCCGCGACGAGCAGATCTAGAACAATCCTGAGCCAGCACTGAAGACACAGAAGAAGGTAAAATGGCTTCTGCGATTCGTCCAAGTTCTTTATATGCTTATTTTCTGCTTTGGATTGGCCTGCAAATGCGCGTATTGTAGGCAATCCTTCTACCGTCTCTAAAAATTCTATTAAAACAGCAGATCTTGATTCAAGCTCTAAGAGCCGTAGTTGCCGTGATGTTCGAAGGTATATCTTCTGCACGAGGTAGACGATTATAAGACATATTGGCAACGTGAGTGTTAGTAGCTTTTGGACAACAAATAGGAAGATAACCTGATTAAGAAGCTTGAAGGTCTCTATGATGGTATTAACGATCTATCTTACAGTTAAACCGCGGATTCAACTTACGAACGAATAATGTTGACAAAGCAGAAGCAAGCTGCTTATCAACAAGCTGAATGTCTTGACTGAATCTAGGGGTTGTCAATCTCTTATTGCTAGTATGTCAAAAGCAATACATACCGGTTCAAGATCGACCCGCTGTCAGTCTTCGAGAAGTATAGCAAAGGTGCACTGGTATTAATTAGCTTTTAATTAGGATTGTAGGACGACGCACGTTACCGCGTAATTATTGTAAGGAGCTTCGAGTGTAAGACAAGTCCCGAATGAGGAGCAACAAGCATGATAGTAGACCTAAGAGTCATGTTAGCCTCGTCTCATCGCCTTACATGTACTCGTAAGGCAGCTTAACGAACCACATAATTCCATTCGTAAAGACCCAAGCGATGAGATTTAGGGCAATGTATCCTCCAATAAAGATCCACTCATTGCTTGATCTCGAATCCGTCCATAGCTTCAACCAATACTGGGGAAAAGTAAAAAAGAAGGAGTAAGATGCGATACAAGTTATCATGAACGCGAAATTTCTCATTCCGGCCGCTTCCAAATAGTAGCCCACGGCCTATTAGATATGTCTTGCCTTCTCGAGGTGTCGTTTTTGAACTTACTATAGAGCGCCGAGTCACCTGTTTTTCGCTTCGAATCAATAGCAGTGTCGTCATATGATCGCTGCTGCCGCAAAAGGGGATTATTATTATCCACAGGGGTATTCTTGTTCTCATGGGTGTTATCTTCGTTTAGGATTATTTTCAATACTTGAGGATCTCGAGACAGTAGCTCGTTCCATTTGCCTTGCTCCTTAATGCGCCCACCTTCGAGGATGATAACCTCATCTGCCAAACGAAAGTGATGGGCTTCACCAAATTGTCAGACTAGCAGTAAGAATTGGTGTATCCGGAGTACTTACTAGAGTTGCTAATCAAGATCACCGTTATTCCAAGTTTTCTAAGAAGACCGTCTGACCCAAATAAGTTTTCGATGATTTGATGCTCGGTGCTTCCATCCAGGGCACTAAATGGATCATCTAGAAAGAGAATTTCCGACCGGGAGATGATTGCACGCGCAAGGACCTAGATTATGTTAAAATATGGTGTTTATAAAGAGGGTATACTTACTAAGCGCTGGCGCTGACCTCCTGAGAGATTAGCCCCTCGACTCCCTACGATGGTTTCGTCCTTGCTTGGAAGCGTCTCAATGTCTTTCGATAGACAGCAAGCAGTGACTACTGTCTCATACCATCTTGCGTCGACAACAGAAGAACAATCCTCAAATCCAGTTATAACTTGCTTAATGGTCCCATTCGGTAGCCACGGTAGTTGAGAGCAGTAACCAATACGTTTGGAGGATACTGCAATAGTTCCGACCGAAGGGGTCTCGCCTAGGAGAGCACGGACTAAGGTTGTCTTCCCGGCAGCTGTTGCACCGGAGCAAATGACAATAGACCCTTTCTGCACGGTCAAACTAATATCGTTTAGAACTGAGCGAGATCCCCCAACAGAAACCCCTATTACACTGAAAGCTGAATGTGAAGCGGGATGGAGATCGGCATCCCCAGAGTTATTCAATTCGGGGGTCGCTTGTGAGTTGACAATCTCAATCCTGTAGTCCTGGCGAGGAAGTTCAAGAAGGAAGCTTTGGATTCTCTCAAAACTGGCAAAAGATGCAATGACCCTAGGCACAATAGTCATAACCATGTTCGCCGGGTGTGTCACCATGCTTAGAATGGCAATAGTTGTGAATGCAGTCTCAGTGTCCAGTTGATTGCCTCTCGACTTGGCTAAGATGGCATAGAGTACAAGGGTGATAACTGGCGCAAACATCCCATTGGCATTTGCGGACGCGTTATAAGCAACCGTCATCCACCGTACTCTACTTGCCATATGGAGCTCAGTCTGTCGAAGTCTTTGAATGCGTTCCGATATCACGTCTTGCAAGCCAAGCATCTTGACGTTCTTAATAGCACTGATAGCGGCACTTGTCATAGAAATGCGGTTCTGCGTCGCTTCATTCCATCCACCTTGTCTCGACCGTAAGTTTTTTGCGACGTACCGACTCATACGAGAACATACTGGAGGGACCTTTCAGTGATCAAGAAGGATAGGTGAAGTGACTCCGACTTACGGAAAATGATAAAAAGGGGCACGGGGGCCAGCCAACCGACTTCCCAAGATAGCATCGCGATGCCGATGGCAACTTCGAAAACCTGTCCCCAAGTTTCGTGGAACATTTCGCCAATTGTGTCGAGGTTATCCACGTCGGTACTTGTGAGTGTCAAGACTTTGCCCTCACTCACACTTTCGGCGTAAGAGTTCATAGTTTTATCATTAATCAATGCTATAAGAGCGGCCCGTATCATTACTCTCAGTTTATTGAGGTGACTCTGATAAACTGTAGTGGAAATCTAGGTAACCGTAGGCTTAGTAGTTGACCAATTCATCAAATTTGCGGAGGCTTACAGCTAAGCCGACGTAGACGACAACTGCAGCTGTAATAAGACTGTGCGCAGTCCATGTCTGGTTTGACGGCTTATTTCTGGTAACATATTGGATACTTTGACGGATGATAATTGGTTGCGAATATCGGAATAAAGTGAGGAAGAGTCGCGGTGGTATGGCTAACAAGAATGGCCTTTTAAGAGACACGAATAGTACTTTTGGGAGTGTCATCCTGCTCTCGGGTTTCACTACGTAGTCGCCTTAGAATTAGCTACCATTCAGCTCTTGATGTAAACCGAAGCACGTACGTCTTTGCTCCCATGCGCGTATTGCTACAGTACGAATGGGCTTCGATAGCAACTTTGTATCGATAGAAGGCAAATTGGAGTTTAGAAGGACATTGTGATACCCTTCCACGAGAACTGGATTGATCCACCAGAAGAATATCCTGCCAAAAACGCCGGATCTTTCCTCGGGCGATACATACTGTCCCGAGTACTCTTTGGTCAGTTCCTTTTGGAGGTTTTCGGTCGCAAGTAGAGCAGCCTCTAGAGTTATCTGCGCGAGAATTGGATCTTGCATAAGCCAACTACGCTGTCCTTGGGATTTCCTGGATACCTCAAGGACATCCCGAATAACACACGCGGTAAGGTATAGAGTGATTATGCTAGATGGTTGAATGCTTCGCCGATGCTCTATCAATGATAGAACACAGAGCGCGAGAACCGCAGCAACCTCTAGACCCTGAGAAGCACGGACATAGGTACTATTAGGCGTCGAATCCCCTAATGCAACAAAACGCCCTACGCTTGATAAAATAAGAAGAATTAACAGAAGCTACTATGAATGTCAGTCTATAGATGCTATGTTGTAGTGCTTGTCTTCACTCACTATCTTAGCCCATCCCAAGAAGCCGGAGATAACAACGACGGGAGCTCGACGTAAACTCCATACTCGGAAGAGCGCCAAGCACACAAACAGGATTGAAAGTAGCATCGAGCAACTAGCGATCGCATACGTAGCGCTCCCAAAGAGAGCCATCGTTGAAGATGAAAATCGCTTTCGAATAAGTAAAATCGTGATGCTGCAGCGTTCAAGAATTCCGTCAGCCATGTCAATACGTGCCCTGGCCAATTGAATCACGCAATCGATTTACCAGTCCTACCAGGGCCAGTGCTCTCTCGTATTCGAATACCCCTGACCTTCCTACGTATTCAACGGGCTGCTTGGAGCATCATGTTGCTTCCCAAACGGGACAGGATCACGCCTCGAATAGCATGATGATTGGCTTAAAGATGCAGCAAGCTAGTCTTACAAGATGCTACGAGTGGATCCGTAGCCCACTTATTATGTGCTCGGTTTTAAAAGCAGTATGCCGAAGTTAAGGTGGTGATGGCTTCACTTAGGTTCTATACATATTATCCGGCACAATCCAGTCAACAATATCACATCTATATTGATACAGCACCTAAGGATACCGATTACATATACCACTGGAATTTGCTGTATAGAAGTCAATTTACACATACATGGGTAGGTAGGTATACATTAGGTACACATATGCCATCTTACGGCTTAGATAGCCCTTCTAACTGTGCCTTAATCTGGACGGCGACGAGCTTGGAGAAGTATCGGCACAGGGCAAGATTGCCTCCATGAAGCCAGAGGCCGGGGTGACCACTAGGTCGCCACATGACTCTCATCTCGCCCTCCTCATCGTAACCAAACACGTTAGGTACCTTACTAGCGACCTCCTCTCCGAAGATGACTTCGGTAGCCGTTCTCATGTTCTGGTATCCCGTCGCGCAGACAATTTCGTCCGCTTCTAGTTCAGTCCCGTCGTCAAGCTTCACGCCGTGTGGAAGAATCTCGCTAACGCCAACGCCGTGCTTCACCTTCACCTTGCCGTCGATGATCAGCTGCGAAGCGCCCACGTCGATGTAGTAGCCCCCGCCGCGCTGCAGATACTTGATCCATAACCCGCAGTTCATCGGACCACGGTCGGTCTTAAAGCCCGCCTTGTTGAGACCGTCGAGGACGTCCTTGTCGACTACTTGTTGCAGCTCGTTGACGTCGGCCTGGGCTGCCTTGTAGATCTCTCCTGGCCTTCCCCACGAAAGAAGGTCGGCCTCCTCTGTTGGAGGGCCACCCTCGTAGTATCCGGGTTTGAGTAATAGATCCATTACTGCCTGTATACTCATTACGGTTGTCGACGACCGCTGGATGATGGTCACGTCGTACCCGTTCTCGTAGAAATCTTGAGAAATATCGAGCGCCGAGTTGCAAGCACCAATCACAACTGCTTTCCTCCCTTTGGCGTTCCTCTTGGCGCCTTTGAATTCCGATGAATGGCAGAGCACATCGCCCTTGAAGCTTTCCATACCTTTAAAAGCCGGTGCATTCTTCTTCCCAGAGTGACCAGTGCTCTGGACAATGTGCTTCGGATGCAGTACACGAACTTCGACGGTCCCGTCCTTCTTCTTCCGCTTGACAACTGCAACCCACTGCTTCTTTTCCTCGTCCCAGCTGCTATACTCAAGACTCGTGTTATTCCACACGTTGAGCTCGAGCTGTTCAGCGTACGACTGTAGAAATTGGGCTAGTTTATCCTTAGGGGTGAATATGGGCCAGAAATCCGGGAATTTTATGTACGGCATATGGTCGTACCATATCGCGTCGTGGAGGACAAGGTGCTGGTATCTATTCCTCCAGTTGTCACCCACATTATCGCACACGTCGATTGCGAGAGTTGGGACATTCATCATCTTTAGGCGGGCTTGTAAGGAGAGCCCGGCTTGTCCGCAACCTGATTCATGTAAGTTGATATTGCGATTTATGTTCAGAACAGTATAATCTTACCAATTATGAGTACGTCAGGGTCACCGTGCACGAAGTTTATCTCATCTTGCCTTCGTTCGAGCCAGTTTTTTCTCCCGGAGTTGGCGCCATGCGTGGCACCATTTGGTCGTAAGGGACCGACCGGCTCTGGGTGGTTATAGAACTCATGCATGGTTGTGTAAAGCGTCCAAAATTTCCATTCGCCGTTTTCTTGGAGGAGACGGGCATATCCGGCACCAAAACCATGCTCGGTAGCGGACCGTAGGAAGAATTGTATGCCGCGGACCGACCCGTCAGCCCGGAAGGGGATTATTTCTGGGCCGTTATTCTTAGCCGGACGCTCCCTGTCGATTTGGATATCTTTTAAGTGATGGCCCTTGTCTAATAACGATGTGATCTTGTCTCTTCCCTTCATAGTATGGAAATCCCAAGTCAAGCCAAGGTGATCCTTCCAATAGCTGCTTTCTAGAAAGAGGTTTGCAAGGCCTTTGTGGTCCTTTTTCGAAAGCAACTCATTGAAGGAGTTTATAACCTTGGAAGCCACTGCGAGTGCATCTACGCTCTCGTCTTTGATAGTCGGCGGCCATGGTGCAAGAGGAAGATCTACAGAGCCGGGTACTAGACGCTGGCTTGACGGGAGAGAGTCTGGCGTGGTCATGGTGGTAAGTGTTTATAGAATAGGTGAAGTGACACTGAAGGTATCAAAGGCTACTTAGTATCATACTTAGTATCATCAAGACGAAACAGAAGAAAACCCAAGGATTGGGGCTCTAGATATCCCCAGTTTCACGGTAATAGGACCCCGCACGTTACGGTAGTAACTAGAGATAAATCCACGAGACGTTGTTCGCGTCAATATTTCGCTTCGGATGAAGCTACGGCTCAGCGAATCGGGTATGGACCTACACTGGGGGAGCTGGAGGAGTGCATTCATCACCCCGCATCAAGTGATAGATCATGGTCGAGAGAGGATATTATTCGCATATAATACCCCGAGGAAAGTCAGGTGGCTTATACTATCGTACCGAAGGAGACTCCGAGGTTATCGTCACTGCTCGCTGATCTTGGCTAAGGCATACGAATCTACCTAAGGTAGCTATGCAATACAACTCATGACCTTGTTTATACACTTTATACACTTTGCTGTGGCTTATGGATATCTTTAGTCTAGGTACCTTAGGTATGTAAGAATGTACTTTACTTTATTGGAGACGGTGGCACAGCCTGTAGGAGTTGAATGGGGATTTGGTAAATTGTCTCCGACGTTAACCAAAGACGTACTAGCCGACTTGGAGAGTTTCTATTTTGTACCTGACATAATTAGGACTTTGCAGTTAAGATGTAGTTGAGATGTAGTTAATGAAACTACCTAATATAAGGCTCTAGAACGTGCAAATGTGTTGATACCTTTAATTAATAATGTAAAAGAATAAAGAAATTAAGGTTACCTAATTAAACGGATTTCCGGTTTCACGGTGATACTATATCAACACGGACCTTACAAATTTATGTACTTGCCGATTCTCGGCCGAGACGAGTCAGGTATGACTCGGGAACCTGTCAGAAACTCAATGATGCCGTAAGAAGAGAAAAAGAAAAAAAGAAGGAAAGAAAGCCCTAGGAAAGGCAATCTTAATCTCTATCTCCGAGATCATAACTAGGTAGTAGATCATAGGCCCACCAATAAGATCTCACCACTACCTATGCACTTATGTAAGGATGTAAGGATAAAGAGACAGGGGTCTAATCCTCATTTATCTTCTTCAGCCCTTCAGCCCTTCATACCGTAACCAGCGTCTACAATAATACTATTAAATCCCGTTACCGCTTGTTTTCGCTTACCGTATTGCATCGCTGCTGTCGTATTTCTAAAGACATCATTACACTAGTCCTTACGACGACAGACGCTATCAATGACGAAGCACACTGGCTCTTCCATGCACCGAGTCCCCTCGGCCGGGGCGGTCGAACATGGCTATCCGCAAGGACATCTCGGGCACCTTACCGAGCATGAAGAACAAGCTTTGGTAGAATTCAAAACACTTTTAGAGGAGAAAGGTCTTTATAAGCCGGGGAATCCGCCATCTCATGACGATGCCACGATTCTGTGCGTTTAAGTAAAAAATAATTCGCATTAAATCTGTCAAACACAATGCTAATGTATATATTTACGAACCTAGTCGATTCCTTCGAGCGCGCAAGTTCGTTCCAGAAGATGCATATGTGCAATTCAGCGAGACTGAGAAGTTCCGTAACGCAAACCAAGTTGAGGTTCTATACGAAACTATAGATATAGACTCGTTTGAGGCGACTAGGAAGCTTGTACGTCATATCTAAGATCCTTGTAGACTTTAAAACAATTCTAAACAGATGACTTATCCTTGAGAATAGTACCCGCGATTTACTGGCCGACGTGATAAGCGGTATGCAATACTTCCTCCCAATAAGAGCTTCGACGCAGGATATGCTAACAATATTTCTAGAGGCATTCCAATTTACGTATTCCAAATTCGACATCTCGATTCACACGCAGTTGCCAAATATGAGAAGTCCACCGAGACGACCTATAGTAGGGCCAAGACGGATGGCAAGACACAGCCTAAGCTGTTACAACTATTCGCGCTGTACGAACATCTGACAAGATTCGTCCAACCTCTGTCGTCCGAGTGTACCGACCGCCCACATCCCGCTACTCCAATCACCCTTAGCACCAACATCGTCGACATTTCCCACGTCAGTCTGCGCATGTTCTGGAACTTGAAGGGCCACATGCAGGCTGCCAGTCAGTTGGCCACTGCCCACTATCCTGAGACTCTCGACCGTACGTCTACGAATCTTGTTATAGGCTATGTAAGAATCGTAGAAGTGACTGATTAAATTCTTAGGTATCTTTATTATCGGCGCGCCTCTGTTCTTCTCGACAGTATGGGGTTGGATTAAGCGGTGGTTCGATCCCGTAACTGTTTCCAAGATCTTCATTCTCCAGGACCAAGATATTTTACCTGTCCTGACAACTTTCATGGACATAAAGAATATCCCGAAGGTTTATGGAGGGGAACTTGAATGGGACTTCTTCGACGAGCCGGCTTGGGATGACGAGGTAAAACGGATATGTCAGTTCGAGAACGGTTATACTTCTCTTCCCCAAGGTCCCGTATACTGGCGGCCAATCGACGATGGCAAGCGAGTCGAATGTATCGCCGTAGGTACTAAAAACGGAACTGACCGAAGAGAGCGCGTCTGCACCATCACAAGAGCTTACCCGCCGAAGTCGACTGAAGATACCCTAGTGTCTGCCACGGAATCCCAGGCCGGTGACGTTACGGAAGCCGGGTCGTTCGTAACTCCCACCGAGAAGCCTATCATTAACGGCGAAGTTCCGACGGCAAGCGTTGCAGCGTTGTCAATTGCCGAGGGAAAATAGTAAAAATTGATACGATTATATTATAGAAGGAGCTCACGCAGTCACTAATTACCTCGAAGCTGGACATCCACGTCAAATTCGTAATTCTCGTGGCGGAGATTAGACATAAGAGTTGATTGAAGATATAAATATAAGAGGTATACATTGCATAGGGTTTTGCGATACTGACCTATTTTCCCCAGTACTGCACTGTCTTATTGTCAAGGGTCGTTGGCGCATACCTTGGTATTTACGGGAATAGGAGCGCTTTTGTTTTTAGGGAGTTACGCATGGATTATATATGACTTCTTCACAAAGCGAAATAGAATTATCTTGAACTCCTGACGCCAGCAACCCTCTCTATCTATGCGATATAATCTATATGTCATCTACCGGTGACCAATGCCTCTAAACGTTGGTTGAAACTACGACTCAAGATGACGGCTGGACACCTTTTCGCCTCCTCCACTCCTTAATCCCTTCTACGACTTCGTTCCACGTAACGCCGTCCCTGACCAGCCACATGGTAACGCCCAGAGACTCCGTATCTCTGTTACGGCTTTCGTCGTCGAAGAACAGCATCTCGGTGTGCGGGATACCCGTCCTCTTGCCCAACGCCTTGAAATGTTGTATTTTACTACTGGGGTAGATCTCCAACCCCGCGTCGAAGAACTCGATCGCCTTCCTCACCTTGTCCTTCTTGCTAGTACTCCCCGACCCCCCGTCCGCACCACTTTCATCTAGCACGCTGCTCGCGGGCGGTATGTGCAACAGCTTGAGCATCTCCCGCCCGAGGTCCGGAGCGTGCGTCCGGCTGGCAACGCCGAGCTTGATGCCCGCGCGAGCTAGGCCGTGTAAGACGGAGGGCACATCGTCGTAGAATGCGAAGGTCTCGCCGATCTTGTCGGTGCAGGCGCTGTGCGCGAGGTTGGACCGGAGCGGCGGGTAGACGTGGGTGTCGACCCAGAATGGCCATAGCGTATAGTCGAGATCGAAGACGATGGCGCGCGGCAAGGGCTGACCGTCGGTGAGGATGGATGGTAGGGTAGTAGGCGTCGTGGCTGGGAATGTTGGCTGTTTGGCGAGCTTCTTCGGCATGTTCGGAATATTTTAAAATTATGTAGGTAGGTATTGTTGGGTACGAGTTCGGGGATTGGGACCGGGTAATGGCATAAAATTGATGTGGGTAAAGCAATGGTAGGAATGAAGGTATGACGGTATGACGGGACGGGGTCTTGCAACTTTCCCGTCGCCGGTCAGACGATAAGATTAGATTAGATGCGAGTAAGAAGTAGGTAAGAAGTTATGTAAGCAGGTAAGGTACCTACCTTAGCTTGGCAATACGGGCGTAGAATTACTACCGATTCCCCGTCGCATAAAAGGGAGATCTCCTGCTAAGCTTTAGATCGGAGAGCTTTCGGAGGGGTTAAGCATAACGGTCCGTTAGCAACGTTATTATTCCTTTTTGCCAGCTGCACACACTCCTTCTCCAACTCTTTATTTTCGTCGCTCTCGCATCTCCAAGTCCCCAACTTTTGCGATGGATATTAAAAACTCTATACAGCGTAGCATCGTTGACGTCGGTCTTAACAGGCCGAACGCGCCGCTCCGAACATTACATCAGCATTATATGCCTCGCCAGGGTATTTCTAATCTACAATAAGCAAATTCGAGCTGCGAAATATGCAGCTAGTAACACACTTGGCGTTCGAAACCACGCAGATATACCCCCATAGAAAACCCCCCCTGAGTCTCTAGTCGAGCGGGGATTAGTTCGGATCTCATACCTACACTAGACCTTCTATAGCTGCATTAGGTACCCTAGTTATGTCCATAACTCGGGATCTTCCAAGTGAAGAACCCCACAGGCACTCAGCAACTTAGAACTGCCGAACGTGTTCCATGGCAGAAACGGCCAACACCCATGCGGGGCCGCGGCTGTGGAGCTGAGCCTGGTTGGGTATAGGTGGTATAGGTACCTAGGTAGGTAACCTATCACACAGTCCTAGTTGTCTAGACTGTCTCTTTGGACAACGGAAAGCCAAAATGCTCCTCTAATGCCTAGTCTTCAGACTTACACGGGAGCTTAAGGTAGGCACATGTAGGGACATTGATCCGCCGCTATGTCCGCAGACGGACTCCTCCACCCTCCTCCCCGACTTGAACCGTTTCAAGCGAACATGTCGGTCGTATATAATATGTGCTTAGCCGTCGCGCATTTCGGAGAAACCCCCTTGTGGCTTCACTTATAACTCCAACCCAGAGTCCAACCTAGAGCGAGCTATTAACAGCAATAGCATATCTTTCGACGACAAAACCATAAATTAAGAAAGAGATAAGGTTACGGCTATCCAACATGGCGGCCCCGAGAAAGATCCAGCTCGTGCGCATAGCACACGTGTACTATAAGTACACAGACATGGACAAGGCTATTACTTTCTTGAAAGACTTCGGATTCACTGAGGAGAAGAGGGTATCGGATGACAAGATCTACTGGAGAGGATACGGGACAGAACCGTGGGTGCTTTGCTCCATCAAGGCAGACAAGGCCGAATTTGGCGGCGCGAGTTTCGTCGTCGAGTCAGAGGAAGACTTGAAGATCGCATCCGAGACACTACCGAAAGCCACCAAGGTATACGATTTATCGGATGCACCCGGCGGTGGCAAAGGCGTAACTTTCTATGACCCGGTCGACGGGTTTCCGTTTCACTTGGTCCACGGCCAGACCTCTGCTCAGATGCTAGAAATCCCTCTACCACACGAACCCGTCAACTACGTAAGAGTCCCCTAGGTTGGTCTTAGATTCTAATACTAACGATTCCATAGCCTATCGAAAAGAACAGACCTGCAGGCAGGTTCCAGCGATTCGAGAAGCGGCCCGCTCCGGTACACAAGCTCGGTCACTTTGGTGTGAGGTCGACGAACTTCGCAAAGGCTTACAAGTTCTACTGCGATCATTTTAACCTTATAGCCAGCGATGTATGAACCCCTTGTCTTCGTCATATTTAGGTAACTCGCGACTGATAGAAACAGCTCATTCACGACGCCGAGAAGATTGACCGGACGGTATTTTACCGGATAGATAGAGGAGACGAACCGGTGGACCATCACGTCTTTTTCTTCGCCGAAGGTACCCCGTACAGAGTGCACCACTCTTCTTTTGAGACGCACGACTTCGACACTCAAGTCCTAGGTCATGACTGGCTGCGAGAGAGGGGTTACAAGAACTGCTGGGGTGTTGGGAGACACGTCCTTGGCAGTCAGATCTTCGACTACTGGTACGTATTTACTTGCATTTTTTACCTTCTGATTTGAAGTCCAAACTGACCAGACTAGGTACGACCCGCACGGCTTCATTATGGAGCACTATGTCGACGGTGACTTAGTGACCGCTTCTGAGCCCACGCATCGCTCGCAGGCTGGTCCTGGAAGTCTACACGTGTGGGGTGAGTATCTAATACCAGCTTCTAACTATGCTGCATGGCAGTGCTAATCGTGGTTCACTAGGTCCCGATGTTCCTGGAGATTTCCTGGACTAATTTCAAAATGTATTAAGGGGTTGTGTTTCAATCCCGGGCGAGCAAGCGTATATTGGTTCCAAGATTGAACATTCGCTTAATTCTAATGTACTTATATCCAAGCTTGGTGGGCGTTGAACTGTGCCTTGTGTTACCACTTCAATGAGACTTATGAGTCTTGATCGTGATCTACTAGGCTATAACAAAGCTACTTCTAGTAGTACGATAACGTATCGAGTAATTACAATCTATGAAGTAGGTGAATTCATATATTGGGATGCGTTGCGAAGTTCTTGAGATGTGCTTGGTAAAGAAAGTAGTTGATATAGATGCCTAGGTACGAGACAACTCGTACGCCAGAGTAGGACCTTCTACCAAGAATAAGTCCCGTAATCATCAACGAAATCTCATCGTCGAGTTATCTATTTAGTCTATATGCTATCACTATTGGATATAGATTTAGCGTAAAGATTTATTTATATATCTTACGCTAACTAATAGCGATCCGAACCATCATAAAGCTAGCTAGGTAGGTACTTAACTTATTCCCTTAAGCTGTATTTATTAAATCTATACTATCTATATAGGTACTTCACGGCTCCATGGCATTAGAAAACCCTTTTCCTACATTGATGTTTGAAAGGTCTAGTCAAATATTGGTTTATCTAGGCATCCCTAAGCAGGGCGCCTTCACATCGAACAAAACGGTGTTCGAGGGTATGTAAATCCACGAGGTGTATATGTGAGTTAGGCCGCTACAGATGATCTTACCACTGCCGTAGAGCATGCATACGTAGGTGATACACAATGACTCCTAGTACGAGCTTCCTAGCACCTATGAGTCATTCCATTTCCGTTGTAGAAAGATCGTGTTCTACATATCATATCATATTAGAGCTGTAGAGAAGACTAATGTTGCACTGGAAGTATCCTAAGCTCAAATTATTTCGCATTGAATGTACATCAATGCCCAATAGCCAAGGTGCAAGACCAGACCTTCAGAGAGAATACTTGGCACTGGTTCTTTTAGGAATTGGGTATGATCGCGGTAGTGCGGATAATGATCCGCCAACGCAGAATGATTACCCTCTTGGCGGGGCCCATATAGGGAAGCTTTACCGTCAAATCCTAAATCAATATCTTGAAAAAGTTAGACTAGGTGGACATTATAATCTCTATTAAAGGGGTATATACTAGTATGTATGGCCTGCGATAGTTTAATCTCGACCGATATGAACTGGGGTTTAATAAACCACCTTGAGCATCCATTGCTCTGCCAATTGATCTATCGTTGCCCACCATTCTATAACCAATCAATCGTTTATAACCTGCGTGCTGCATGAGGCGCGGGTTGGCCCGCTAGATCTAGAGGTCGATAGATATGAGATATCCACTGAGGACCATATGTTGAAAGAACTTGGGGCCAGACATAAGCCCTGGTAGATCACCACGAAGAGGATATCATAGCTCAAGGTCTGAGTGCTATGTTAGCATGCAGACTGGTAGCGCCAGCTCAACGAAAGTGGTCGTTGCCGTCATTATACCCACCTTTAAAATCTAATAGTGAGGTAGAACGTATAGTCGTTCAATACTAGAGTAACCGCGGGGCTATCGTTGCGGTTAGTCGAATTCCGGGATTAGTCTTCAATCTTATTCGTAGTATGTAAAACCGGACGCCTGATCATATGAATCTCCCCCGCATTACTAGTCGGCGCCAGACAGCCTCTTCGTCTTCATCCTGGTCGGCTGAGGTGGCTGGAGTATGATCAACGGGGTCGGGGTTCTCGCATAGCTCGAGGAAATCTTCTGCCATGCTCTCCCCAGGGGCAAACCCTAGATTTCGTAATGTGTCAAACGGTGTTGAGTCGAGCCTATATGAAGTTAGATTAAAAGAGGTATATATATAAGGAGTCGGTCACCATTACCATCGAGAAGTCTCATCTAAGTGGAGTCCATCGGTTTGCTGTGTTATAGGGAGCGGATTGCTTGGCTCAATGGATTGTGAATGCTGAGAAAGACCCATTGTCATGTTAACACTCGTTTGCCTTTCCGGTACTAAACGCTCGCTCGTATGCCGCGAGTTCTCCCCGTATTCATCAGTGGAGCCATTCGATCCAAAAGGTGTAGAATCTTGAGGAGCCGCCAAAACTGATGATGCGCGGTCCAAGTTGAAATTCTGAGGTCCATCCTCAGAAAATCCAGTATTATAACCGTGCATCTGGTTCTGATTAGGGTGGAAAGTCCGTTTTCGAATATCCTGGCTCTGAATATAAATGTCGCCGGGATCTTGAGGAGCGCCATGAGGGTTTATTGAATTAGGCTGAGGCCCTGAAACAGACGAGACCGATCTATTAGACAGGCCGGGAACATCCCTAGCCATGTCAGGCTGACGGTGAGAATTTGAGGATTGAGTAAACCCCATCTCATTGCGCACTTTAGAGATGACCGGTGAGACGCGTCGGTCCAGAGGGGGTAGGAACAGGTCGGGGGATTCTCCATTCTGCAGAAATCTACCGAGTCGACTCTCGTTGAATCTATTAACCAATTCCGCCTGGTTCTCGTTGTTCTTATAATAGTCCAGATTAGGAACACCAGTACCTCCATATGTACCGCCGCGCAGAATCTGCAAAACGACATCCTCGAGTTCGGGCCGTGCCTGAAGGACTATGGCCCACAGACGTTCGCCATTCTGGCCGGTGTACCCACTACGAGGACCTCTTTTGCGCACAGGTCTGTTGTAGGTACAGTCGGTGCCTGCGCGCACACAAACGCTGCACTTCGGGACGGCATTATCGCATGGCTGATGTTGAGAGTTGCAACGGTCGCAAGCGCGACTAGCCTTGCGCTTTTTCGACGCTCGCTTGCCGTCATCGCTCTCCCCATCACTCATAGCCTCCACCATACGCCCCGAGGTAGACGCCGCTAGTTCCAAACCAGCTTCAGGTTACCCTCCTCTCCGTAGAGTAGAGGGTCTCCTTTTTTTCCGAACCGTTAGGGTACGATGGAGACTCGTATGCGCCCTTTTAAGATGACGACATAAGAGCTCTTATAAGCTAATAAGGCAAAATTGAGAGAGCATTGAGAGCATGGGTTGAAATTGATAAGGAGTGTGAGAAGAAATAAAGAATTGTCGATATATTTATGTTTTTGTTGTACTTGTGAAGTGAGAGGTGAAATAATTAGGTACAGCAATCAGATAAGTACAGTACCTACGATACATGTTATGTACCTAAGGTAAGCACCCACATCTTGAGTCGGGACCACCTTAGGTACTCACTACCTAGGTACCTATCGGCGCGGGGCTATCTCCGGCATGAACCAACAACCTCAAACCCCAACAACGTTTTTCTTTGTGGCTTCCCCAGGTGCCTAGGTTAGGTAGCGTGGCTATTCAGTGTGGCTAATGAGCCAGGATTTGCCATGTGGTAGAAGCTCAGGACTAACTTTCCGCTTCTAATGCCGACACCCTTGCCGTTAGTCGACCTGTAAATCACAGACATGTAAACTCACTCACCTCATGGGCTCAACCCCATCTGTTTTTAATTCAGCAATCAAGATGCTCTCGTGCGATTTACTTCGCAAGTGAATTGAACTCAAATTACAAGAGTTCTTACAGACTTGCAGAATATTTCATTGCCGATGTTACCAGATACTCTCATCGTGTCTGTTTTCATCAAACAGCATTGAAGCTCGCTTTTAGCCTCATATGAAGAAGATACTATCCTGGATTTTCACCTATCAACGCAGGCTATATTTTATCGAACGGTATATAAACGATATAGCGACAAGCACGATTAAATCGTGCCTCGGGAGTTTGGAAATCGGGTTGTTAGGATGGCGACGACGGGATCGAATATGATTCTTGATGAACCCATAATCTCTACGTCCAGGACAAAACGCAGAGTATTCCCTACCGATTCCTCGGTCATCCTTGTGGGTTGTCGCGGTGCTGGAAAACGGACGTTGGGGTTTATCGCTGCCAAGTATCTCGGCCGTCGACTTATCACCGAGGATCACTTTTTTGAACAGTCGACAGGATGTACCAGAGCTACTTTCTTGCAAAGATATGGACGAGAAACGTTTAATCAGCAGATGGCGATTGTGCTTGCCCGAATGCTCGAGCTGAATCAGGCCAATTGTGTTATGGAGTGTGGCACGGGCACGTTATCGTCTGATATTGAGGAGATCCTGAAGGACTACATTGAAACGAACCCCATCATTTATATCCATCGCGATAAAGGGGATCTATACAAGTTATTAAAGCCCTCAGTGGCAGATGCAGAATACCTACTCTCCACTGACCAGAAACATCGTGATTTCTCTAATTTAGAGTACTTCAACATTTTTGACCCCAGTGGCGAAGGCCAGATAACGGAGGACAGCCCTTATCGTTCTGCGTCTACAAGCACTGCAAAGCTTGTAGAGGCGAAACAAGACTTCAAAAACTTTCTTGATCACATCTTTGGCCAAGGTTTGACACGATCATGGATAGCAAATCCATTCTCGATGAAGGCAATACCCCCGGAGTACCGAACTCATACGTTCGTCTTCTGCCTTCGACTGTCATCACTAATCAGCATGGATATTGATATAGCCGAATTGGAAGCTCCTGGAGAGGCTGTGGAACTAATAATTGATACCTGGCCGACTAACGTACTCGACCTTATTGCGATCCAGGTAGCCTTAATCCGCCGCAAACTGGACCTTCCAATCATCTACTCCGTCGAAGAGAATCCTCGTGAGGAACGTAAGAGGCCCCTCGAAGAAAGAGATACTATGGACCTTGAATTGATGCTTCATGGGCTTCGACTTGGTGTCGAGTATCTGAGTCTTGATCTCCAGAGAAGTCCAGGACTGATCTCTCACATCCTCGCCATGCGAGGCAGAACAAAAATCATCGGAAATTACGTTATGAAAGGATTTGGCGCTCCAAAGTGGAATGATGATTCCTTCGTCGAACGTTATTTGCTTGCTCAACAATTTGGGTGTCAGATCGTCCGCATGGCCCGGTTCTGTTCCGT